GCCCGCACCGGTATTGCGGCTCCCCTCCGCGCGAGGCGCGAGCCGCGGGTGGACGAGAGAGCGAGAGATGGGAGCGATGGTCCAACGCGGAGAGCGTGGTGATGCGGGAAGGAGTAGAGCGAGCCCTGTGCCCACTCAGAGCTAGGCGCCCTTGGTTGCGCGTCGATAGCGGGACGCGGGCCGGTCAGACCGCTGAGTGTGCATGTATTGTCGAGGGCGGACACGTTTCGCCTTTGCTTTTGTGGCGGCACGAGTGCGCTCTCTCCCCGTGCTACGCCCCCTGGTCTACCCAGAGTAGTCGCCGACCACCTCCTACTACCTACATACTCACAACACGTCACACCGCCACTCGATCGAAGAACGCGCGTCGGCGGTCGTGAGGCGGTGGGCTGTGAACATGCTCTTGGCCTCGCCTGCGCGCGGCCCCCCGTTGAAGACAGCCTTGCAGCCAGCCTTGCCCTCGTGCTGCCGACTGCGTATCCTATCTCCGCTGCGTGCGACCCTTGGAGCACTTGACCCCCCCGGCAAAAAACCAGGCTCCTTTGCTGACTTCGCGGCAATATGTGTGTGGCATCCGCCGCCCGCAAGCGCGCCCGCACCGGCGGCGGCAGCGAGGACGGGGACGAGGAGCCCGTGCCGGTCGCGGATGGCAACGAGGCGCCCATCTTTGGCGCGCGCGTCCTCGGCCAGGTCACCACGCTGACGCTCGAGGGCGAGGACGGCCCTCTATCGCTCGGGTCGGCTGGCGTCGCGAGCGATCACGCGGGCGCCTGGTACGTCGCGACGAAGGACTCGCTGCTGCACGTCTCGGCGGCCGGGCGCGTGATGCCTGCTACACCGTTGCTGCCAGCCCGGACGCGAGCGCGGCGTTTGTGGCAGACTGGAGCAGCCACGAGATCCGGCGGGTGGAGGTGGCGACTGGCGCGGTGACCACGCTCGCGGGCAGCGGCGAGGCTGGCGACGCTGATGGCGTGGGTGACGCGGCGGAGTTCTTCAGCCCAGCCGGCATCGCCATCAGCCCAGACGGGAGCGCACTGTTTGTGGTGGACTTCCACAACGACAAGATCCGGCGGGTGGAGTTGGCGACTGGCGCGGTGACGACGATCGCGGGTAGCGGCAACATGGGCAGCGCCGATGGCGTGGGCGACGTGGCGGAGTTCTACAACCCATGTGGCATCGCCATCAGCCCAGACGGCGGCGCGCTGTTTGTGGTGGACAACAACAAGATCCGGCGGGTGGAGGTGGCGACGGGCGCTGTGACGACGCTCGCGGGCAGCGGCGAGGGTGGCGACGCGGACGGCGTGGGTGACGCGGCGCAGTTCTGCTGCCCATCTGGCATCGCCCCGACGGCAGCGCGCTGTTTGTGGCGGACTTCAGCAACCACGAGATCCGGCGGGTGGAGGTGGCGACGGGAGAGGCGACGGCAGTGGAGAGGACGGTCGCGGGCAGCGGCGAGGGTGGCGACGCTGACGGCGTGGGCGACGCGGCGGAGTTCGACTGCCCAACTGAAGTCGCCATCAGCTCCGACGGCAGCACGCTGTCGGTCGGTTCGGAAGGTGGCCTCCGCCTGGTCTGCGTGGCTGCGCCTCCTCCGCCTAGGCAGGGGTCTAGGCAGTGGTGCACGGAGATCAAGGTCGGGACGTGGCAATCCGGTGAGGCCACGGTCACCTTCGAGCGGGACATCTTCAGCTGGATCACCAAGCGCGAGGTGCCGGACTGCGGCTTTATCACTCTCAAGATCCGGACGTCGAGCATCCATGAGGCGGTCTTTGACAAGCGGAGCAACGTGCTTAAGATCCGCGGGATGGTGGAGGTGCCGATGGACAAGCTCGACCGCTACTACGACCCCTATTCCAGCCTCGGTACGCCCCTTATTGCCACACACCTTGCGCGCGCCACACGCGACCCACTTCCTGCCCGCCCGTCTGTTGCAGGCTCGCCCAAGGGCTACCTCTGCCTCAAGTTCCAAAACTACGGGGAGTTCACCAAGGTGGTCAAGGCGGTGCCGCGGCTCAAGGCGAGGACCACCTTCCAGAACGGCAAGCTCGGTGGCAGCAGCGCTTCCGACGCCGGAGCAAGCAGCGCGCCCGGCGCCGCCGCAGCTGCGCGAGCCTCTGCTGCTGCCCGGTGCGATGAGCGCGTCGCTGCCACGAGCCGCGGCACTGCCACGAGCCGCGGCGCCGCATCGCGGCAGCTTGCGGCGGCCAGCAGCGGGAAGCAGCCGGCGGCGCGCCCCCCTCCGCCCCACAGCCACGGAGGGCGCCAGACCACCCTCTCCGACCACCCCCCCCCAGGCGCGGACAACCTCCCAGCTGCTCTTCGACGAAGCGAAGGACGGCGGCGACGGCGACGACTTTGGCTCTGCGGGAGGGAGCATCGTGCTTGAGGGGAGCGACGGCGAGGGCGAGGCCAAGCCGAAGAAGGGGAGCGTCCGCGAGGAGCGGCGCAAGAAGCGCGCCCGCGAGACGGCGCTGGCTGACAACTCGCAGGAGGAGTCGCAGGTCGAGATCACCGGCGTGCGCTCGCGCGAGGAGAAGGATGCGGAGGGCCGCGCGAACGCGATCGACGTCGACTGGCCGAGCGGCGAGGCGGGCGGCAGCGAGGCGGAGGCGCGGCCGGCGCAGCGGCCTCGCGTGGAGCGGAGCGTGCGCGAGCGGCTGGTGGAGCTCAAGAGCCTCCACGAGGAGGGGCTCATCTCGGAGGCCAACTTCGAGGCGCGGCAGCGCGTGATCCTCGACGACATGTGACACGGGCGGGCGACCCTGAGATCGGCCTAGTCATGTGCCGCGTGCTCTTCACTGGGCGGGCACTGTCGCGGCTGCGGCAGCGAGTTGCAGCTCGAAACAGCACGCACCGCCGGTCCGCGCCGCTACTCTACAAACTCTACGTGTACTCAGTTGACAGTTCCGAAGGCGCCGGTACGTGTTTTTTGGTTTCCCGCCCTCGCCGATTTCATTCGTCGAGACACACGATATACGAGAGATGTGGGGGTGTGTGACACGCCGCTCCCGCCGCGAGCCGCGACGACGGTGCAGCGAACTGTGGAGCTTTCCCTTTCGGTTCATTCATGCACCCCGCGACGCTATTTGGCCACAGGTGTTTAGCGTCTGCATGAGTGCATGTTTGCCGTCGAGTTGCGCACGCACTCCGTGCATGCTCGCCGACTAAATGGCAAACAATCACGCGCGCTCCGCCCCGCGCGGCGAGAGCGCCTCCCCGGCCGCGTCGGCACATAAACCCTGGTCATGTGGGCACAGTGCCCCCCCCCCCCCCCTTTTTTCACCCTTAAGAAAAGTCCAAAAATACGGGGTGGGAAAAAACCCCCCCCCCCCCCCCCCCCATACCCCAAATCTCGCGCGGCCGCGGGCGTTGTGCGCGTCGGTCTCACACAGCCCGAGCGAGCAGCGCTACCGCGACCTTCCTCGCCGCCGCCCCCCACCCTCCCACGCTTCCTGCCCACCGGGTAACCCCCCCCCCCCCCCTCCCCCGTGACGGCCGAGCCTAGCCGGTGCCACCTGCCCCCCGCGCGCAGATTCACGCGCGGTTGCGGGGCGCCAGCGGGCTCGGCGGGGCCGCGGCGGTCAAGCCTGGGCGGCGCGCTGCGACGGACTTCGGGCGCAGCTGCGACTTGGGTGCGCCGGCGCCAGCGGGGCGGGCGCCGACAGAGGCGGCGCGGGACCTGTTCACAGGGCGGAAGTGTGAAGAGGCGCCTCTTCACGGGGGTGTCTTCACAGGGGAGCTCGGGAGGGGAGTGTGTGTGCTAGGGAGAAAGGGCGCGGGGCGTGCCAAATGTGTCAGGTGTGCGAGAGTGCGAGTGCGTGAGTGTGCATGCTAGGGAGCGGGAGCGGGGGCTGCTCGGCGCCGCTGCAGCCGGGCGAGCAGCACGTCCTTGGTGCCGGTGGTGGGCAGCTTGCTTGCCTCGAGCACCTGCCAGCACCGAGGGGGCAGCGCGTGGGACTGCCTGATGGGCCGACAGCAGCTGGCTCGACGCGCGCCTTGCGCAGCTCTCCGACCGGAAGGCTCGCGTAGCCCGGCGGGTGGACTGCCATGCTCGGGCTCGCACCACCCGCACCCTCCTCCGCTCCCTCGGGCAACGACAGCGGCGGGGGCGGCGCCGCCGCCTCTGTCGGCGGCGCTGCCGCCGCAGCCTCGACAGACGCCATCAGCGCTGCAGCGGCGGGAACGTCCTCGCCCTTCGGCCTCTCCAGCTCGGCCAGCTCCGCCGCCGCCGCGGCGCGCCCCTCTCTCGCCGCCGCGAGGGCGGACGCGTGCGCCGCGCCGCTAGCCTGTTCACAGCGACGCGGTGTGAACGGCGTCGGCCCTCTGAGCCGGCAGCAGCCTCTCCACATGCCGCACCTCGGCGGCCGCCGCCGCCTCTTCGACCACCGCCGTCGCCTCCGCCGCCGCCGCGCGCTGAGCGGCCGCCGCGTCGGCCCACCGCGCCGCCTGCGCGTCTGACGCTGCCGAGACAGCGGCGGCGGCGGCTTCGGTCGCTGCGCGGGCGCGGGAGCAGCCGTCCTCGGCGCGCGCCTCAGCGGCGCGACGCAACGCGAGCACGCTCTCCGTCTCCGCGGAACGCGCCTTGACCATCGCCTCCGCCGCCGCGGCGTCAACGTCGGACGCCTCCGCCGCCGTCGCGGCAAGCGCGCGCACCTCCGCGACGCGCGCCTCCGCCGCCTCCGCGCTGGCCGCTGCGGCGTCGCACATGTCTTCGGACGTGGCCGCCACATGCTCCGACGCCGCGGCCAGCCCCTCCTTGCCGGCGCCCACGGCCTGCTGCGCCTCTGCCACCAGCGCCGCCGCAGCGTCGAGCCGACCCGCGGTCGCCTCCGCCGCCGCCGCCGCGGCCTCCGCCGCCGCCTCCAGCGCCGCCGCGCCGCCGACCGCAGCCGCTCGGCACGCCTCGTCTGCGCCCGCCCACGCGTCGGCGCGCGCCCCCGCCTCCGCATGTGCGCGCTCTACCTCACTCTCCGCGCCCACAAGCCGCTGCAGCGCGTCGGCCGCCGCGCCGTCGGCCGCCGCCGCCGCCGCGTCCGCCTCGTCAGCGAGAGAGCTGCACGCACCGGCGGCAGATGCGACGCCAGCAGTGACGCTCTCGCCCAGCGCGGTGAGCCGCGTCGCCAGCATCTCCTGCACTGCGCCGACCACATCCCGCAGCAGCGCGGACCGCAGCTCCTCCTGCGACGAGGCGAGCTCGGCCAGTTGTCCGGCCGCCGCCTCGCCGCGCTGGCGCTGCGCCGCCGCCGCCGCCGCCAGCCCTGTTCGCTGCGCGTCGAGCGCCGCGCGTGATTCGGCGACGCCGCACCGCAGCGCCGCCGCCGCCGCCGCGATCGCGCCGCGCAACTCCTCGTCGCACTGTCCCGCCCGCTGCTCCTCTGCTGCGCCACGCAGCGCGGTGGCGCACGCCGCAAACGACTCCGCCGCCGCCGCGTCCGCCGCCGTGAGCGACTCGCGCACCCCGACAAGCCGGTCGGCCGTCCCCTGCTGCAGGGCCCACGCCTCCGCCATCCGCTCCTGCACAGCGCGTAGCGCCTCCTTGTGCGCAGCCAGCTCGTCGCGTGCCTCCGCCGCCCGCGCCGCCGCCGCCGCCGCCGCCGCCTCGACGGCGCCCGACAGCGCCTCTGCCTGCCCGCCCAGCGCAGCACTCGCCTCCGCGCGCCGGCCGGCGGCGGCGTCGCTCCACTCCACCAGCTTGCCCTCCGACTCGGCCAGCGCGGCCTCGAGGGCGGCCAGCTCCGTGCCGACGCCGGACCGAGCGGCGGTCGCGTCCGCCGCGGTCCTGTCCAGCGCCGCGCCCAGCGCCTCCGAGTGTGCAGCCAGCGCCGCCGCCGCCCGCCCGCTCCCCTCCTCCGCCGCGGCGCTCGCGCGCGCGTACTCGGCCGCCGCGGCCGCCGCCATCGCCGCCGCCACCGATCGCAGCTCCGCCGCCTGCGCCGCCGCCGCCGCGTCGGCCTTGTCGGCAGCACGGAGGGCGGCGGCGCGGCTGGAGGCCACGGCGGCGGCGGCGCGGCCGGCGGCGGCGAGGCCGTCTTCAAGTCGCGCCGCCTGCGCCGCCTCGCTCTCCGCGGCGCCACGCAGCGCAGCGTGGACAGACGCGGCGCTCGCGCCGGACGCCTCGAGCGATCCGACGAGCGACGCCGCCTGCGCCGCCAGCGCCTCCTCCGTCAGCCGCGTCGCGCGGAGGACGTACGCCAGGCCGCGCCGCTCCGCCTAGTCAATTAACTAAATCGTTCATTAATGACTCGTTCAGGGCGTACGCCAGGCCGCGCCGCTCCGCCTCGGTTTCGTCGAGGGCAGAGCGCAGCCTCTCCGCCTCCGCAGTCATGGCGGCGAGGTCCGCCACGGCCGTGTCCCGCGCCGCCTCCGCCTCTTCCGCCCGCGCAACAATCTCCGCCTGCTGCGTGTGCTTGCGCGCGAGCGCCGCCTCCGCCTCCGCCGCCTGCTCCTCGAGGTACTTCATGCGGGTGAGCAGCGCGTTCCAGTCCTGCATCGACCCCGCCGCCTCGCCCTCGCCGCGCGCAGCCGGCGCGGCGCCGGTGCCAACCTTGAGGAACGACGTCGCGACGGGCTTGTTGGTGATGCCCTGCGCCTTCTCGACGTATGAGAGCGTCGACGCCGACTCCTCCACCTAATTAATAGTCAATGAACAGTTAGTTAAGAGTTTACTAATAGAGAGCGTCGACGCCGACTCCTCCACCGCCAGCTGCGACGGCGAGAGCGTCGCGATGACCACAGTCTTGCACCGGCCTCCGAGCGACTCCTGCAGCAGCCGCGTCAGCTTCGAGTCGCGGTACGGGATGCGCGCCTGCGAGGGAAAAAGAAAAACGTCCTCCGAGCTGTGAACAAGCCTCGAGTCGCGGTACGGGAGATGCGCGCCTTGTCCTTGCCGCCCGCATCGCGCAGCGTCGAGATGACGCGCCCCAGCGTGAGGAGCGACTGGTTGATGTTCTTCCGCTCGCGCTCGCGCGCGTCGTGCGCCGCGTGCGCGCCGCTGCCGCCGCCCGCCGCGCTGCCGGCCGCCGTCTTGGCGCACTCTGAGCCGGCGAGGTCGACGAGGTGGAGCTTGCCGGTGCTCTCCATCGTCATCCCCTCAGATGTGGTCTCGCGCGTCGTCACCGTGAGCGTGAAGACGCAGTGCGAGCGCGACGAGTGCTTGTTCATCCGCGTCTCGCCGACGCGCCGCCGCTCCTGCGCGCGCGCAATCAGGCCGAGCACGTCAGCCGCCGAGCAGACCTCGTGCTCCGAGAGGTTGTGCGCGTAGACGCCCTTGCCGCGCCGCTTGCCGTCTCCCTTGTCCTCCACCAGCGACAGCTTGGGCGCCCCGTCGGCGTGCGAGCTGCGGCCGTTGTACACGCCCCGCTCGTCGGCCGCCTAATCAACCAAGTACGAGTTAGTAATAATCATAAGTTCACTCACTCGTTGCACGCGCTCGTCGGGCGTCTAGCCGCGATGAGCCATGCACTCGCACTCTTGCGCCCACATCTCCCCCCTATCTCCCGTCTCGCGCGCCGCGTGGCACGCCTCGCCCGATCTCCCCGCCTCGGCAAGCATGGCTGGAGAGCTGCTACGGTCTCGCGCGATCTCGCGCGATCTCGCGCGATCTCGCGCGATCTCGCGCGGCCTCTCGCCTCGGTGAGCAGGTCCGAGAGCTCCTCGTTGTAAATCTCGAGGTACGAGGCGGAGACGGCGGAGGAGACGTACTTCCCCTTCTCGCCCAGCGACTCGAAGATGGCCTCCACCGCGCGCGGGATGATCCCCTTCTTCTCCTCGCACACGATCTCCCCCTCCATAGTGTGTGTCTTGCCCGTGCCGGTCTGGCCGTACGCAAAGACTGTCGCCTCGAAACCCTGCATCACCTCGTGGACGAGCGGGCGGACGGTCTCGAAGACCTCGCACTGGGTGGAGTACGACGTGTACACCGAGTCGAAGTGGTACACCTGCCGGATCTGCCGCTGGCCCACTCCGCGGATCAGCGTCACCTGCGGCGGCAGAAGAGAGGCGTCGGCGGCGGCGGCGGCGCGGCCGAGTCGGCGGCGGCCAGCGGCTGCGGGGCGGCTCGGGCCGAGCGGAGTCGAGATGGGAGCTACGGCAGAGGTCTTGGTCGGTGCAGCAGGGAGGCGGCGGCGGCGAAGAGAGAGAGACGGAGAGTGAATGCTCGCCTCCCGCTTCTCGGTCGAGCCCGTGACAACGGGGAGCGTGTTGGCCTTGTTTTCCTTCTCGTTCATGGGACGCACGCGCACCACGACGCGCACGGACTGCTCCTTAGGAGAGTCGGAATCGAGCACCATCTGCGCGGAGCCTGTCGTTCGAATCGGCAGCGAGAAGAAGAATTCGCGCGCGATCCTGCGGGCTGCGGCGGTTCGAACGCGGCCGGGCAAAAAGAATTTTATAACTCAATCACTCGCACAACACTTGCCTGTTGTTTGTTGTGCCCTTGTTTGTTTCTCTTGGCACCTGGGAGTGCTGGGGGGGGCGATAGGGAGAATGTGGCCCTGAGTTATGTGTACGCCAACTCAGGATGTGTGGCAGCCCGCTGGTTGTGTGTCTTGTGAGCCTGTTTGTGTCTTTGTGTCGCTCGTGCGTGTCGTCATCATCTGTCTCGCGTCCACCCATACCGCGTTGGTGTCCAGTCCGAGCCTGACTGTTGTTCATCTTTCTACATACATACATACAACACTGGGCAATCGACAGTGAGCCACCACAGGCGTCGTTGGCGCACATACTGAGCGGCAGCTGCGCTGGAAATAAGGAAGAGGCGCGTGGGGTTGGGGTTGGGGTTGGGGTTGGGGTTGTGTGGGGTTGGGGTTGGGGTTGGGGTTGGGGTTGTGTGGGGTTGGGGTTGGGGTTGTGTGGGGTTGGGGTTGGGGTTGTGTGGGGTTGGGGTTGGGGTTGGGGTTGACGAACAACCGCTCATTCTACAGGGCCTTGCCTGGCGGCGTTCGAACGCGAGCGAAAAAAGAATTTGCGCAACAGCTGTTGCACAGCACGATTCGCGCGACAGGCAAGGCGCAGGCGACGGCTTCCTCAGAAGCCGTCGCTTCCACCACAGGAGCAGTCACACCACTCCCACTCCGTCCGGCGTCCACCCCACCTTGGCCTTTATTGTTTTATACGTTATTCTTCCCCGAAGTGAGTGAGTGAGTATTCTTGATACGAAACCACGACGACACACACCAGTCGACTCGCATCGGTTGCCTCCATGAACGGCGGAGCTATTCTCGCGTCCACACCACACCTGGCTCCAACGTGGACACGCCCATAGGCATAGCTGGGGACACTACTAGGTCACGCATGGCATCAGAAGTTTTACCCGTTCGAGAATTTTACCGGCAGCGAACGGGTAGGCACCCTGGCACAACACTGGGCACGAGAACGACGCGACAGAGGAGGAAATGACAAGGGAGAGAACGACGAGAGTGGGACGACCGCGAGGTGGCATGAAGATTGCAGCGAGAAGCGGCGAGAGACTGCGAAGAGAGATAGGAAGAGGCAGACTCCCTAGGGTGGGCGACGGCTAGCGCATCACACACCTCTCCTTAAAATCCCTGTGTGGTGGCGGCGTGCCGTCCTCCCATCCCTCCCTTGGGTTGTCTGTTTTCTTTCTTTCTTTCTTTGGGCACGGGACTGGCTCGCACTGGCAACTAAGAGCGGGTGAGGGCGTGCGCGGTGCCGGGAGCAGACGGGGCGAGGGTGCCGAGGATGTCGCTCTCGCAAAAGATGCCGTCCCACGCGTCGGCGGCGCGGAGGGTGGAGACCTACGGGTGAGGTGGGGTAAGGTGAGGTGAGGTAAGGTAAGGTGAGGTGAGGTAAGGTGAGGTAAGGTGAGCACTGAAGTGTAAGGCCCGGTGCGCGTGGGTAAGCAGTGTGTGTGAGTGAGTGTGCGTGGTGGTGGTGGGCAGGGGAGGGGCGGGGGGGCCTCGTTCGGCGTGGCAGCGCCGGTCAGCGCGCCGTCCGAGCTGCTCGAGTAGACTAGGTAGTCGAGCAGCTGTTCACAGCAGCAGCTGTGAAGACGGCGAGCTGCATGGAGGGGACGTGCGTGCCACATCTCGTCCCTATCTTGTGCAGGTCTCGTTCTCACCTCGTCCTTATCTCCCCCATATCTCGTCCATGTCTCGGCCGCATCCCCGCGTCCTCTCGGCATATATCCCCATATCTCCCCACATCTCCCCACATCTCCCCACATCTCCCCCATATCTCCCCACATCTCCCCATATCTCCCTCCGCGCGAGCCCGGCGCCGCTGTCTAATGACCAGACACACACGCACTACTACTACGGCGGCAGAAGCGCCCACGCTCGCCTCGTAGCTGTCGCCGTCCGAAAAGATGGCGGCCAGGTCGTTTGTGGAGGTGTCCCAGGTGTATGGACCAATCGCCCCCGCCGCGCACGCCTCGGTCAGGTTTAGGCCAACCTATATGGAGAAATACACCATCAGGGCGCTAAGACGAATCGTGCAGAGTATTCGGAGCACCACACGTGAGGACGAATACGGTCGAATACGGTTGGTTGCGTGTCCTCTCGAGCGGAGGACAGCTGAATCAGTGAGTGCATGTCAGCGGACTCATTCTCAAAGCGGTAACAAGCTCGACGAGCACTATAGGTGGCTGAGCGGTCACCGTGGATCGTGTCCAGAGTACTACTCTGAGATTTGAGTACTCCGTTGAACGGGTGTGAACAGACCAGTTCAAACTTCAATGGAGATTCCTTTTTTTGGACCTCAAGAAGGAGCTCGCCGCTGTCGAGGCGTCGCCGGCCCTCAAGCACGTCGAGGCGTCGACACCCCCCTCCCCACAACACACACACACACACACACACACACACACACACACACACACACACACACACACACACACACACACACACACACACACGCACGCACGCACGCACGCACGCACGCACGCACGCACGCACGCACGCACGCACGCACGCACGCACGCACGCACACGCACACGCACACGCACACATACACAGTGACGATTACACCCGCTCACCCACGCGCACCGGGCCTTGCACTTTGAATGCCGTGGGGCTCCTGTCTTTCAGACATGGGGAGTCGCGAGGGCTGCGCCTGGCCCTTGCCCCACCACGCTGTGTCTATGGAGAAGTTTACCTGACCTTACCTCACCTCGAGGCGTCGGCGGACCGGTCGGCGCCGAGATCATCGACGGCTCGGTCAAGGTCAAGCCGAGCCCGATGCCCGATCTCGTGGAGGAGATCCAAAAGTCGCCGAGGAGCTTGAACCCGCGAGTCTGAGGGTGAGGCCGGCCAACAGTCGCTGTGGCGGGGAGCGACTAGGGCCGCGGCGGGCGACACGCGTGGTTCCGTGTACCGTGAAGCTATGTTCCTATGACCTAAGTCCTAAGTGCCATTTGTGAACGTATGCGTGTGTGGCTATCTATGTACTCGATTGCGTGTGGTGGGGAAAAAGAAAATACTCCCCCCCAAAAAACACGCTGCCGGCGTCCCACCCTACGGCTTTACCTGGCGCTCACCCTACCAAGGTACTTCCGGCCTTGTGGTCTTGAGCTCACCCCACGGCGAGTGTATCGCGCGCCTTGCGGGGGGGGCGCGGAAAAGAGGAACCGGCGAGGCGCAGCGCAGCACCAGCTCCCCCACCTCCTTCATCCTAAGCTGCAGCTCCCCCACCTGCTCCGCCAGCTCGGCATTGGAGCGGCGCTTCGGCCGCGGACTTGGCATGCCGCCCCGCGCCTCCTCCTCGTCGGGCTCCACGAGCCGCTTGTGAGGCGGCTCGCGCCGCCGGCAGCAGCAGCGGTAGAAGCAGAGCGCCAGGAAGAGCCACCCGGCTACTCCCAGCGCCAACTTCAGCGGGGAACTGGCGAGGATGGCTTGGCCAAGTTTAGCTTTAGCGAGATCGCGAAGGAGAGGGGGGAGAGCACTCGGAGTGGATGTCCGGTTCCGGTCGTCCAAGTTTAGCTTTAGCGAGTCGCCGAGGGGGCGCAGGCTCCACTCGCGCACCGCGCTCCCGTGTTCGGCGACCTTCTGGGCCCACCGCTCAGGGAGCAGCGCGCCCAGCTCCTTCTCCAGCTCCTTGAGGACGGGCGCCACGGTCTCGTACCTTGTCCGCACCGTCCCGTCGGCGTAGAAGGGTTGGGGTGGGGCGAGCGGCGGCGGCGGCGGCGGCGGCGGCGGCGGCGGCGGCGGCGGCGGCGTTGCTGGAGGCGAGAGAGGCGGCGGCGTCGGCGGCGGCTTCGGCGGCGGCGGCGTCGGCGGCGTTGCTGGAGGCGAGAGAGGCGGCGACGGCGGCGGCGGCGGGGGCGGTGGCAATGACGGCGGCGGTAGCGGGGGCTGGGGAGACTCTGGCCGCTGCCCCGGCGGCCAGGGCGGCATCGGTGGCGGTGGGTTTGGCTGTGTCACCCCTGGCGGCGGCGTCGGCGGCGGCGAGAGAGGCGGCGACGGCGGCGGCGGCGGGGGCGGCGGCGGTAGCGGGCTGTCCGGTGGCGGTGGAGTTGGCGGTGGTGGCGGCGACAGCGGTGGTGGCGGCGGCGGTGGCGAGGGAGGCAGCGGCGGCGGCGGCGGCGGTGGTGGCGGCGACGGCGGTGATGGCGGCGGCGATGGCGGCGACGGTGGCGACGGTGGCGACGGAGGCGGCCGAGGGAGGGGAGGCGCCGGCAGGTGAGTCACCTCCCCGTTGAAGGCTAATGTCTCTCCGCGAAAGCCGCTCTGTCCCGGGGCGGGCTTGATGCGGCACGCGTGCTCGCCCATCGGGAGGACGTGCAGCACCGGCTTCTTGTGGAGATCGCAGCTGTTTTCGGGCCCGCCAGTGAAGTGGTAGTCGGTTGCGAGGCAGTCTCGACTATCGCGGCACAGGGCCTGGCACTCGGCCTCGCTCACGCCCAAAATTGTGTCAGCCGAGCCATACGCGCCGTGCTCCACCCGGCAACCGCCGCGTTGTCCGCCGGCGAGCGGCCAGAGGTTATGGTTGGAGGGGCTCGCGGAAGGCTTTGGCGCCGACTGCGGAAGCGGTGGTTGCACCGGCAACCACCACGGTGGCGGGCGGGGCGGAGGTGGAGGCGCTCGGAGAAACCACGGTAGCCCGCCACCACCTGCGGACGGCTGTCGGCTCACGCCGCCGCTCGAGGGCATGAACGCCATATATTTAGACCAGGCTCTGATGCGGGCTACGAGTAACGAGGGGGGTATGTACTCGCGGGGTGTGGGAAACGAAAAAAAGTAGATTTTCATTCGTCCACGAGAGAGAGAGAGAGAGAGAGAAAAACCGCCAATGGCCGTTATCCGTTAGTGCGGACGTCGCCGCGGCTCGCCTCTGTCGCGGCGGCTGCTGCGCGCACGCGGCGGCGCCGCTCTCTCGCGAGACGGCTGGCGACGCGGCTCGCCGCCGACGTACGGTGCGCTCGTCCGACGGTCCGCAGCGTGGCGTGCGCGGCGCTGAGCGCCGCTCTGCGAGCGCCTCTGCGCCTGCACTGCCTGTCTCTGTTGCTGTTGGTGGTGGTGGTGCTGCTGCTGCTGGTGCCGATGCTGCTGCTGGCGCGGCGCGGCTGTGCGACTGGGCTCGACGCGCGCGTCGCGAGCGTCTGACGCGGCGGGCGGCGTCGGGCAGGTGCGCTTCTCTCTCGGGTGGTGGTGGTGGTGCTGCTGCTGCTGCTGGTGGTGCAGATGCTGCTGCTGGTGCGGCGCGGCTCTCCGACGCGACTCGATGCGCGCGTCGCGGCTATCTGACGCGGCGGGCGGCGTCGCGGGCGGCAGCGGTGGCGGCTCGCGGGTGGAGGTGGAGGCTGGTGGCTGTGGTGGACTTTGAGTTTATTTCATGGTCGTGTACGGGGACCGGGGGGTCAACCGGGAGGCAGGGGGTTCAACCAGGCGACGGAGGACCGTGGGCCATCGCGGGGACCAGCCCGTCCGGAGGACGCACTGGGTAGATCCGGATGGTCTTCACGCCGGTGGGTGGCACCGAGGCGTCTTGGACGCTCAGCTCTACCTTAAGCTCCTGAGGGGCGCGTGGTTGTAACCACGTAGTATGACTACAACCCACCACAGACACCCTCCCCCACTCCTCACGGGTGTTCACACCCTCACCCTCTCCTCTCTCCTCTCTCTCTCTCTCTCTCTCCTCTCTCTCCTCTTGTCTGTGCTGTCTGCCTGACTCAGGCACTCAATCTGCCGATGCGTGATTGTGTGTGGGCTGCTCCGAGGGGGCCCTCTGTGCGATCCGACGGGTAGGGGGGCTGTGCCCGGGCGGTGTCCGGTGTGGAGTCCCCTTCTGATCCCGCCTGGGATGTTGGGTGTGAGGTTGTGGCGGCTTCGATCCCAAGGGGGGGAGCTGATCCCACTCAATAACCAACTCTCAGGGGCAGTAGGTGGGCGAGCTTCAGGCACGCTCATCTCGATCGTCAAGACGTTGCTACGCGCGGTCTTCCGCGGGGGGAGCTGCGTCGACGGGTGCGGGACCGCGGCGCAGCCAGTGCCGTGGCGATGCCTCCGGCTGTTTGCGGCGGGCGGCTTGCTGCTCGCTGCGATGGCGAAAAACTCGTCTCGCCACACGCCATGGGCTTATGCTCTGGCGAGACGTGAGGCGCATGCGCCCAGGAGGGGAGGGGGCATGTGTAACGACACTGCTAGAGATGCCTTTCGGGGCCCAGAGATAAAACTTCTGTGATGCCATGCGTGACCTAGTAGTGTCCCCAGCTATGGGCGTGTCCACGTTGGAGCCAGGTGTGGTGTGGGCGCGAGAATAGCTCCGCCGTTCATGGAGGCAACCGATGCGAGTCGACTGGTGTGTGTCGTCGTGGTTTCGTATCAAGAATTCTCTCTCTATTCGTCCACGTACGTGTGTGTGTGTGCACCTCTCCTTAAAATCCCTGTGTGGTGGCGGCGTGCCGTCCTCCCATCCCTCCCTTGGGTTGTCTGTTTTCTTTCTTTCTTTCTGTGTGTGTGTGTCCACGTACGGCTTAGTGAGTGGTTGGGGTGGCCTCAGGCATCCCCAAGGGAGCCTCTGCGGTGCCACATAAGCAGCTTAGTGATTGTCGAGACTTTAAAGTGTTTCGTTTGAAGAAACGCAAACAGGACAGACACTTCTATGGTCACCAGTAAACGAAAATTCGACTTTGAGGGATCATATCTCAAAAAATCCGGGAGATAACATAGCATTATTATTGCATATTAGGCCGCATAAGGTCAGACTTGACCCCACAAGCATCAAGAAAGAACCCGATGCTCCGGCTCGACTGTGCCGGCACACTGCCTCCTCGCGCACGCTGCTAGCAGGCCGTTGCGTGGTGCACCAGAGAGAGAGGTCGACGCGTTGCCCCCGCTGGCGACCCCGCGCGGCTCAGGCCGGCCAGAAGGTGTGTGGTGACGGCACCGTGGCAGGAGTGCGGAGATGAGCTCGCCGAACGCGAGCAGCAGATGGCCAAAGTGTGCCAGCGCGAGAGCCTCGCGAGCGGGCGCAGAAGGAGCTCGCCGTGACACGATGCCGGGCGGTGGTGGTGCTCTGGCGACTTTGCACAGTGGGCAAAGTCAGGCTGCAACAGGGCAGCACGATGGTAGTGCCCTGCTGCAGCCTGGCCTGACATGCACAGGGCGAACAGAGACACTACTATCGTCTGGCGCTCGTCACCGAACCTGGGCGAACTTCGACCGCCGCCACAGCTGGCCACGAGCACGCAGCGACAAAATGCTGACTGTACGGAAGTTGAGGCTGGTCGAGTGGAAGAGGCTGCCGTGCGAGCCGGCAGCTGGCTGGCTCGGGCGGACTGCCCGCAGCGTCTTTTTCGGCTTCCTCATTCATAGTAGCGTGTAGTAGCGTACACGCTACTTTCGTTTACCCACATTATGCGAGTATGGTAACTGTAGACTTGACTCGGTTGGGAAGTCGCCAAACCGCAGGTGGTGGAGGTCGTGGAGTGGCGAGTCACGCTCGTGCGGACAGCATCGATGCCGTCGCCGGACGCGGCGGCGAGGCACACGGGCGCCGGTGTGGCGCGTCGGCAGGCCCACCACGAGCGGATGCGCGACGAGCGCGCTCGGGAAGCGGCCGCGGGCGACGCGGAGCTTCCGCCGGAGGACGACGCGGTCGAGACGGCGAGCGCCGTCCACGTGCTGGACTGCGTGGCGGAGGTGGGCCCGAACCGGATCGCGCCTCGAGATCTTCTGCGACAGCGAGCGGTGGTACCCTGCGACCGTCATGGCGCGGGAGGAGGACGGGGACGGACGGATCGTGCACGAGGTCGAGTACGACGGCTACTCGGATCGGCGGTGGTGGCACATGCTGGACGTAAGAGGGGAAGGCGGGCTCCGCAGCCGACGCCTGACCGTCGGAAAGCGAACAGGAGGGAGGACCGGGAGGAGAGGGGATCCCCTTCGGATGGGGGGTGGGGAGATCGGGCGGAGGGGCCCTGAGTGGCGATACCCGGGGGCTTCCAGGTATACCCGCAAAATAAAGCGTATTTTGCAATTTTGCTGATTTTGGGACCAAAACAGCCTCAGACTCGGCTCAGAGCCAAAAAATTGACGATTTCCACGGAGTTTTCTCGGGAAAATAGAGAGGAAAAGAGAGGGTGCTGTAGAGAAAAAAGGAAAGGAAAAAAGACGGGGTGCGAGAGGAAAAGCATATACAGCCTAAGAGACAGACAGAGCGCGGAAACCTGGAGACAAGCCAAGACGTGGACGCGTTACTTTGAACCATTTGGAAGTGGTGTGGGTCTCTGAAGGAGGCTCAGAGCATTCGTGTACTTCGCGCAGCGTTGATGCACGCCGGAGCCGGAGACGAGCGCACACACTCTCGCCGGTATGTTTGGGAGTGAACCGTCCAGCTTTTGTTGCCCCGCCGCCCCTTCCTTGCCTTCTCCTTGAGCCGCTTCCTAGCGCTCTTAGTCAACGCCGGCGCCGCCGCCGCGGCCTCGCCGGCCGCCGCACCGGCGATGGATGTCGAGGATGATGAAGATGATGAAGCCGTTGTCGCGTTGCAAGCGGGGCGGAGAGTGTCGAAAAGAGAAGTGACCCTGTCCGTTGTGCCAGCGCAGCCTGGCGCAGACGCCAGGCCGCGCAGGGGCGCGGCCAATGCCGCAGCCTCCCCGCTGCCCGTTTCGGGCTCCTCCTCCTTCGCCGCCTCAGCCACCTCTGCCGCCGCCTCCGCCGCCGCGCGAGCCGCCGCCGCGCGAGCCGCCGCCGCGCGAACCGAATCGCGAGCCAAGATCTTGAACTCCCTCTCGCGAGCCGCCGCGCAGACTTCCGCCCAGGAGCGCACGTCCCGGCAGCTGCGCACGTCCCGGACATCGCCACCATCCCGGCCGCGACGCGCCTCGATGTCCTCATACGCCCGCACCGTCGCCATCGCCGACGCCAGCAGCCGAATCGCTGCCCCATCGAGGAGGCAGCGTTCGTCGTAATTTGCGGGCCAGATTGTGGCGTATCCGCGGGCGCATATCACGCCGCAGGGCCCGACACTCAAAGGGTCAGGAGGCCGGTAGGCATGGATGAAGGCCGCTGATGAAGATGATGAAGCCGTTGTCGCGTTGCAAGCGGGGCGGAGAGTGTCAAAAAAAGAAGTGACCCTGTCCGTTGTGCCAGCGCAGCCTGGCGCAGACGCCAGGCCGCGCAGGGGCGCGGCCAATGCCGCAGCCTCCCCGCTGCCCGTTTCGGGCTCCTCCTCCTCCATCTCCGCCTCCGCCGCTGCCTCTGCTGCTGCACGGCCCTCAGCAGCTGCCTGGCGCCTGTACTCCTCGAACGCGGCCACCTCTCGCCGCACCGGGCACACCTGCCGGTAGGCCACCGCCGCCGCAGCCCACTCCTCCTCCTCCCTCGCAGCGTCGATCGTCCCATCGCCGCTCGTCGGCAGCGCGGGCACCGAGGGGTCCAAACTGGACACCTCGGTCCCACCTCCGATTCCACCCTCTGTGGCCTGCGCATCACAGGCGCCGCTGTCCGCCTCTTGGGGGCGCGCGCCGCCGCGGCCCTCGCCGCCAGCCGCCGCCCCGCCGCCGTGCTCCTCGCTAGCGGAGCGCGTCCCATCTCCGCCGCGGGGGCCGCTAAGCCCGGCTGCGGCAATCGCATGCAATGCGGCATGCACGGCACCCTCGGCAGCGCCTGTACCGACGCCGCCGCCCGCGCGCTCGCCCGCAGCACCATCGCCGCCGGCCATCGCGCTGCTCGAGCAGCGCCGCGACGCTGCCGACATCCTGGGCCAGCAGCTGCGGCACCACCTTATCTGAGATGGGCACAGAAACTTGCGCCCGCTCGAGGAGGGCCGCGATATCCTCGTCGGGAGCGATGGTCGGCCGCGAGGCCGCCATCACGGTGGTGCCCGGCCGCGTGGGCCGGGCTGCGGTCCGGCGCTCGCCAGTCGCGGTGAGAGCAAGAAGAGAGCTGAAGGGAACCTTTTCGCGCTTTTTTATGGTAAGGAAGCTTCACCATACCTTACCAAAAAGTCCGAACCCGGGTAGGGGTGGCCGAAGCGCACCTCGATTTCGGCCGCCGGCCGTCCCGCCGTTTCCAGCATGCAGGGCGCCACCGCTCAACGCGTGCCGAAGCGCCTCCTCGATGATGTGTGGCGCGCGCGCGCCACGGACGACGACTGCGCAATCTGCCTGGAGGCCCCGGCGCAGCCGCTGATTTTGCTCTGCGGGCACATGTTTTGCCTCGACTGCTTCCAGACCTACGCCACGCACACGCGCGAGTACGACGACGAGTGCACGCGCTGCCCGACCTGTCGGAGCCCGCACGCGCCCCCGCCTGTCGGCCAGGTCGAGGCGGAGCAGGTCGAGCACGGCGATGCGCTCTTGGCGCGCGCCATGCGCATGGATCGGAGCCGCCCCAACTTCTTGCCGCTCCTCGAGGGGGCGACCCGCTTCTACGTCGCGGCGCTGGACTTGCACCCCTACTGCTCGAGGGCGCACGCCATGATCGGGTGGTGCCGGCAGCTCGCAGGAGAGGACTCGCTTGACGCGTTCGAGGACTCGGCGCGCGCTTGCCATGGCGCTCTGCCCGCGTTTGCCATCGTGACCCTGTGGAACCAGACGATCCTCGACTGGCTCGGAGAGAGCGAGAGCGCCCAGCGCATCGAGCTTGTGCGAGCCGGCGCGCGGGCTTGCAGCTGGCCGCAGGCTGTCCAGCGGGAGGCGGCAGGGACGGAGCTCTCTGTCGCGGAGAACGCCTACCGCAAGGCCTGCAGCGCCTTTGAAGACCTCACCTTGCCTCGGGTGCACGAGCTGGTCGAGAACTTGCTGGCCGTCTCTACGCGCGGCGGCGGCTGCAACACCAGCGGCGGCGGCAGCGGCGGCGGCGGCGGCGGCGGCAGCAGCGGCGGCGGCAGCAGCAGCGGAGGCGGCGGCGGCGGCGGCAGCACTACCACCCTCTCGAGGCAGCACTACCACCGCATGGTCGAGCTGTTTAGCCTCGTCCCGATCGGTCTGCCGCCGATCGCAAACATCGTGCACAAGCACATCACCGACGCCGGCCTCGCGCTGGTCAAGAAGCAGTCAGCCAACGCCGAGGGCGACCTGATGGCGTACGTGCAGGAGCTGCTCGATCTCGACGGCGTGTACAGCGAGATCATCGGCTCGACGCCAGGCGAGGGCTACTTTAACGGCGACGCGACGTTTCTCAAGGCGGCGAGGGAGGCTTTCGAGGAGTTTGTCAACAAGGACATCGGCAAGAGCGCCACCGCCGAGCTGCTCTCCAACTTTTGCGACAACCTGCTCAAAAAGTCGGGCGAGCGGCTCTCGGACGAGGCGCTCGAGGACAAGCTCGAGAAGGTGGTGCGGCTCTTTGGCTATCTGTTCGACAAGAACATCTTCTCCCAGTTCTACAGGAACCAGCTCGCGAAGCGGCTGCTCCTGGCGCCCTCAGAGGTCGATAGCGCAGAGCGCTCGATGATCGCCAAGCTCAAGCTGCGCGGCGGCTCGCAGTTCACTCACGACATGGAGGGCATGATGACCGACATGAGGTTGTCGCAGGACATCCAGTCCGCCTTCGCCGAGCACGTCAAGGACAAGGAGCTCGGCACCGACCTGAGCGTGCAGGTGCTCACCACCAAATTCTGGCCACAGTACAAGTCGGACGAGCTCAAGCTGCCAAAGGAGATGCTGCAGTGCGTCGAGGCCTTCAAGGCCTTTTACGACTCGCACACCAAGCACCGCCGGCTGCGGTGGGTGCACTCGCTGGGCTCGGCGACCGTGGTGGGCAAGTTCACGGCCTCGGGGAAGAGCAAGGAGCACGACCTGCTCGTCTCCACCTACCAGGCCTGCATCCTGCTGCTCTTCAACGAGGCGGACTCGATGGCCTTCTCCGACATTCAGGGCCGCCTCAACCTGCCCGCCGAGGAGCTCAAGCGCTGCGTGCTCTCGCTCTGCGGCGGCAAGTACAAGATCCTGACCAAGGATCCGGCCGGCAGGGAGGTCGCGCCGACCGACACGCTGAGCTACAACGCCACCTTCTCCGACCGCGCGCGGCGGATCAAGGTGCCGATGATCGCCGCCAAGATGACGCAGGAGGAGAAGGACGCGGCGCTGAAGCAGGCGGAGCTGGAGCGCAAGCATGTCGTTGAGTGGGGAATCATCAAGGTGATGATGCGCGAGAAGCGGGTGGAGCACGAGGATCTGGCTGAGAAGGCGCAGGCCGTGATCAGAACGAGGCCGAGCTGGACCACGAGCTGGACCAACTTCACCCTGGCGAGGGATTACTTCGACGCGATGGTCGTGGACCTCATCCGCCGGGAGCACCTGGAGCCCGAGGCTCCCGAGCATCCTCCCGGGAGTGGCAGCTTCTACAAGTACCTAGCTTGATGCCATGATGGCTCCAGCGCGCAGCGGACAGCGGTGGCCCCAACTTGTCATACAACTTCGCTTTAGCTACATGACATCTCTTAGGTGTTTCTGTTAGGAGGTGTCCAATTTTTCCGACACCATATGAAGATATGTGTGCGGTGTTGAAACTCTGTGAGTCTCCCGTTCGGGCCAGCGCGCGCGAGACGCCTCCGCCGGCCTCGACTACTGGGCTGGGTTTTTAGGCATTGTATGGGGTTGGCAAGCAGTAGAGGTCGATACTCGACGCGTCCCACATGGTCTGTGTCGCTGTCGGCACGCTGTCGACAGGACGTCGAGCGACACCGGTGGCAGTGCCACCCAGGAGTGGTCGGGCGGTCTCCCGTCATGAGAGAGCCACCATGTGATCCGTATGATGAGATTCCTGACAACCGCCTCAGTCAACTTTCGTCACAGTTCCCGCTCTGAGAGGAGCTGCGGGTCAGTTCGACAGCTGGAGCTGTGTCGCCGGCGTGCAGCGGCCTGCCTCCGGAGGTGCCTCTGAGGTGAACATTTTTTGGTCACCGCGAGAGAACGCGTTCGAATTTTTACTCCGGAACTTCAACTCTGCACGCGCACCGGCCAGGGCTACAATAGTGCCAGTGAGGCGGAGGCGCGAGTCGGAAGGCCGCGACCGTCAAGTGTTCCCTCCATTTTCCTACAATCGCTGTGAACCCAGCCACGTACGATCGGACGCGCCCTGCCGCAGCCTCCGCCGTAGCCGAGCGATCGGCCAGCGCCTCTGCCGCCAGTGCCATCGCCGTCCCAGCCCACCCCCCTCGGCACACCCCGGGGCAGCCAATGTGTGACGGCTCGAACCCGCTAAGTAAGATCATATGGCCTCGCGCATCCGCATGTGCCGCATCGGCTCCCATATGCCACAACCCCCAACAGCATCGCACCCCCTAATCCCTTTTGATGTGGATGATGCCATTGCCTTCATTCATTGATGACTTGTTGCAAAAAGTCTGTGGTGCAAAACCCGCCAAAAATTGCGAAAAACGCTGTCACGGCCAGTCCCAGGGCCTGGCCGTGACGCGCGAAAAACGACGGAGGAGATGCATCCTAGCTGTCGCCACCGAAGGCGACTCGACGTCGCTGAGATCGGAGATCAAGCTCTGACAGGTCACACGTCGCTCCTTTGACGCCGACGTGACTCACCCGTGCAGAGAGCGCATCAGGACACGGTCTCGACGCACTCGGTACGCCGCCTGCGACCAAGTCGTGGTGTGCATTTGAGGCTGAGCTGCCATGCCATTGAGCGACCATGCCTGCACACATTGATCGAGCAATTCGGCTTCAAACTCAGCCTCGTGCACCTCCTGCCAGTCCTCCCACTGCTCAAAGGTGGTGAGAAGCATGAACAATCCGCGTTGCCTGCGTCACGTGTGGAAGTGCGCACGCTCAGCATCGCTCAGCTGTTCCAGCGACGAAAGCAGAACGTCGTGATCTGCGTCCTGTCCCCGGGCGGGTCCAGCGTACGTCCGGTACGTTATAAATCTTGTGAGCTTGTTTGTGTCTGTGTGTCGCTCGTGCGTGTCGTCATCATCTGTCCCGCGTCCACCCATACCGCGTTGGTGTCCAGTCCGAGCCTGGCTGTTCTTCACCTTTCTACCTACCTACCTTTCGGTGGAGTCACTCCCTTTGCTGCCACTCATAAAATCGTTGGGTCGCTCGTGAACTGAAGCGTGAGCCTGTGTGTCTTGTGAGCCTGTTTGTGTCTGTGTGTCGCTCGTGCGTGTCGTCATCATCTGTCTAGCGTCCACCCATACCGCGTTGGTGTCCAGTCCGAGCCTGGCTGTGTTCTTCACCTTTCTACCTAACCTAACCTGGGTGTGTGTGTGTGTGGTCGCCTGACAGGGGCCAAGCCTCCCGCCGACAGGACCATACGCCCCCCCCCCCGCTCCATTCGACCACGACCAACTATGATCTCCGAGCCATTGCGATGCAGCACGTTGAGCCCGAGAAGATGTGTGAGCGTCACGTTCAGGCTTCGTGGTCGGCCAAATGTGGGAATCACCACCGAGATCGCCGGCTCTGCCGGCACCACCATCTCCTTCCCATGGGGCCGCGATTCCAGGCGCAGTGGTTCATTGTACTCCTCATCCGAGGTGTGAAGCCTCCACCGGCCGTCGGCCATTTCGCACTCATACTCGGTGGGACGAGCAGCGATCGGTTGCGCAGCCGTCGGGCGGTCAAGCGCCCTGCAGTCGCGGCCAGAGCACGAAATGCTGGGACTCTTGCCGCCATAGAACGCAACGGTTGGACCTCGCAGCCCAAGGCTTCGAGGTGCCTTTTCACCAGGGCCTTGGCATCCATGTAGAGCTGAAGATCCGCTGCATTGAGCTGCTGCTGCTGCAACTGGCTACTTCTGCTGCGCACTGGCTGCTGCTGCACCTGACCCAGCGCGTGTGGAGGCACTTGCCGAGGCTGCGGCCGGAGCGGTGTAGGCGGACAACGATGCGGCGTGACGGGCGCGGGCGGAGTGGCGAACGCGAGACGCTGCCGTCGGTCGAGGGGTTGCTATCATACGCAAGCACGAGCGGTCGGTAACGCGACGGCGTCAAGGCGTCATCACCCTGTCACCGTTGCCCAGGCGCGAAAGTGTGTTGTGGAGGGCGCGCGCCCGCATTTGTGGCGCCGACGCAGCGCTCTTTCTGCCAGCCCTGCAGATGAAGATTGTGTAGTGTGTAGACCCGTCACAATCGATCTCGGAGACAGAGCCATTTCGATGAAAACTCGCGAGCTCTCGCGGCCGGCTCCCCAGCTCCAGACGGCGCCGTCGGCGGCGAGGGCGAGGCTATGCAGGGTCCCAGCCGACACACCACAGCGATGACGCGCTGGTCAGCAAAGGCCTCGACCTTCTTCGGCAGGAACTGCTCCTGCTCGTCGCCGTGGCCCAAGCAGCCAAAGCCTCCACCTCCCCAGCTCCAGACGGCACCGTCGGCGGCGAGGGCGAGGCTGTGGAAGGGTCCAGCCGACACGCTCATAGCGCGCTCGCCCAGCGGTGAAGGGAGGCGGGTCGGCGTGTTGAGCCGCGTCACTCCCGCTTTCAGAAACGTCAATTTGCTCTCTCCTCTCTTGGAGCACTTGGAGTGCAGTCGGCAACCTCACATCCAGGGCCGGGGAGCTGAGATCGTGTTTTATACGTAACACCGTGTTGTTGCCAGGCGGTATCAAGGGCAAAGAAAGCTCAAAGAAAGAGAGCAAAAAGAACACACGGTCAGAAATAAAGTTAAAGACGAAGAAAGACGCAACACAGCCCCCACCCGCCCCTCCTCGATCCCACTCTCGGAGCCCCTCGAGAGAGCCTTTCCGGTACGCCGCCTCGATCTGCTGTAGCGCGGGCTTGCAGTCGCTCAAGACGAGGCACCTCCTGTCCGCCGCATCTTCCGCCGTCGCCATCTTACGCAGGTAAGCCAGCACCGCGTACATTTCCGCGTCTATCACCTGCCAGTCGTCTGGCAGTCTGCCGCCCCACAGCCCCTGCCCAAACGCGAGCCGCAGCTCATCGTCCCCGCTCTCGAGCTGTTCAGATCCCTCGACGGGTCTCCCGAATCGGGCCGGCCCTTCGTACACCCCATACGACACTACTGGTCGAGGCACAAACCTATCCCCCACCCACTTGTTTGGCATGTCTCTCCCTCCATCCGTCGCAACGAGGTGCGTGAAGGGCCGCGCTCTGTGCAGCGCGAGGCATATCCTGGCAACCTCCGCGTTGAGCTCACGGCCCTTCTCCGAGCCGAGCGGCTCTTTATCCTTGCCCATCATGACCTGCGTCCCGTTTCTGTCGGACAGCGCCCGTGTCCCGACCTCAAACTCGTCCCACCGCAGTAGAAAGCGCGTAAGCGGATCCTCCTGGAGTTCGGCGTCTCTTACCCACGCGCCGTGCCTCGGGGGCGAGCCCTCCATCTCTCCTAGCCCCGGCACTACCCCTCCCACCAGTAGAGTCTAGAGAGGTGTCCGTTTTTATTTATTTATTTTGTGGGCCCTCTATCTACGGGGTGTGGACCCTGAGTTGACCAGGGGTTGTGCGCTGGGCCCTCCTGCTCGGCTTTAGCCAGTAGACAAGCCTTGTCACTAACAGAGTAGAAGGATCTGACCTCGGGGCTGATGTGACCAAGCGCTGGTAGCGTGGTTTACCTCACACCCATGGTCTCACAGTGTGCCGGCAGTCACCGAGCAGTGTCGCTCACACAAGCCGCAGCACAAGTGACTGAGGGCCAGTGAGGGCGAGCCCATCGCTGTGACAGCTGTGGCAGCCGCACAGTAGGCTGTGCCAACTGTGCAGAGCGTGTGAGCAGCAGAGGAGCTGCTCTCCAGGCTTCTGTCGCAAAGAGCTGCATGCCACCGAAAGCGCTGTCGAGGTTCGCCGAGCGCGGCGCAGGTTGGAGGACGCCGTCACCGACGAGCGCATTGGACTTTTCACTCCGGACAAAGACGGGTACACGCACACGAGCCGCGGTCGTATACCCGTCTTAGCGGCGAGGCGCGGGACCGTCTGTGGCGAAGTGGGTCGCGTCCTCCGATTTCCTCAACTCACGGTCCGCTCCCTCTAGCAGGAGGATGTACAAGAGATTAGGAGCAGCAGGGACCCGAGGGACCATGTGGAAGACGGCTAGTGCTAGTCCCCCACCGGGAGGACGACCCCGGCTAGTCGCCGACCACACCCACAAAGAACCCTGCACAAAGATCGCAAGGGCGGGGGCCTGTTCCTTTTTACCCATCTCACAGTAGAGAGGTGTCCGTTTTTATTTATTTATTTCTATCTACGGCTCTAGCGTAGCCCTCTAGGACTAGAGCCGCGTGCGCGTCGCCGTCGGCGCGTGGGGCGTCTAGCTACGGACTATGGAAATCATTTACGACATGCACGCACGGCGTTCGTGTGGTTCTATTTGATGTCTTTCGTAGAAGAGAAACCCGCGGCAACGCCCGGCTGGAGGACGCACAGGGAGCGCGGTTTGCTAGGGGCGGTTTGGCTCCTGTCGACTACCCGCCGCCTGTCGATGCTGCCGCCTGCTCCCCAGCCGCCAACCTGCGGTAGTCATCCCGCGCCTCGTCGACGACGATCCCGCCTATCAACCAGGCGGATACTCGCTTCGCTCATCGCTCCTCACCACTGCATCCCCCGCGGCTCATCGACGCCGCCCGTGGAGCGCAGCAGCGCGACGGCGGCGGCCGCCGACACGAACGCGCCGGCGAGCCGCGGCACCAGAGACCTGGGTTCACAGCTCGGCGGCGTGAAGAGACGCTGTTCACAGTGGGGGCGCGGCCGCCCACGGGCGCCGGAGACCGGAGCAAGCCCAGCGCGCAAGCGGCAGAGAGGGCGGCGGCGGCGGCGGCGGCGGGAAGTCGGCGGAGCGGCGGCCGCGCGACGCAAACGCGCCATTGCTCTGCGGCGGCGTTCAGGGGCGCGCCGGGCTGCGCGCAGCTGTCCGCGCGGAACAGGAACGGCACGCCGCTGCCCGCACCTATACTTCCGTCGATTGGATTTGAGGTGCCGGGATGGTAGGGTACAGCAACACGCAACCGCCCATCGCCGCGGCAGATCCGCACCCGCTCGTCGAGGTACGTGACGTCGAGTCCGACGGAGGAGGGCGGCCTATAAAAGAAATATGCGGCGCTTCTCTTTTCTTTTTCGAGGTGCGTGACGTCGAGTCCGACCGAAAACGGCGGCCTAATCGCAACCAGCTTTGACTGACTCGTTGTTCGCATGGCCGCCTCGCGCAGCACGCCCGGGTCCTCGCCCCAGCTGCAGGTTGACGAAACGGCCCTCGCGCCCAAACAGCGACACGCGCGGAGCCTCAAAGGCGACCGCGATCGTGTTTGGTGAGAGCGGCCGGCTGCTGTTCCGCCTAGAAAAGAAATACGGCCTAGAAAAGAAGTACGGCCTACAAACGAATTACGGCTGCTGCTCCACCTCAGCGAAGCCAGCTCCGGCTGGTCGAGGTCGCGTCGCCACGCGCCTGCTGTGAACAGCGCCTCCTCACACCGCCGAACTGTGAACAGCGTCTCTTCGTCGCGTCGCCACGCGCCGCGCAGGATCGCCTGCCTACGTGGTGAAGATGCCAACGTCAGGGCGGGAAGACGGTACTTCAGTGCACCGCGTGATTACACCGGATAAGAAGACAGTGAATGCAGCGGAATCCAGCTGGGTACAGCTGAGTGCGTGTTTTTCTCGAGCGCTGGTTGGAACCACATGAACGCATCTTCCGCTTCTACGACCGGCGACCCAGGCACGAGGCCAAGCAGCCTGAACTGGACGACGTTGACGGCCACGTCGTCGAGCACGTGCTGGAAGAGCGCGTCTGTGCGGAAGAGCGCTCGGCCGATTCGGCCGCGGTACTTGCCGCCGGCGGCGTTTGACCCCTTCGATGACGACTGCCCGACGTAGACCACCTCGGTATTCCGAAGGAGGTAGGGAGAGGCGAAAGCGTCCGTGCCCGCCCACGACTCCTCCAGCGCGCTGATCAGCGACGACGCCTCTGCGCGCGTGGAGTCTGAGGCCGCGATGCCGCGGTCGGTCGGCTCCACGAGCGCGAGAAGCTTGGAGACGGTGTCGGCAGTCGAGCTTGGTGAAGGGGACGACATTCGCGCGGCCGGCGTTCGCACGGCCGGCAGCGGGCGGCGAGGTGCGAGGGCGCACGTAGCGATGGTGGCTAACATACACATGTCGGAGCGCGCGATCGACAGCGCGAAAGAGCAGATCCGTGGGATCAGCGGGCAGCGCGGGAAAGAATTCTTGAAACAGTCGGGCGCTTAAAATACAGTCGGGCGCGATGATGACCGGTGGGTGCGGGCGCTCAAGCAGGCGCGTCTGCCAGTCAATATGGGCGGCATGGGCTTGACGAGCGCCGAGGACATTCGCGGCGCGGCGTGGGTTGGTACGTGGGCTCTCGTCACGCGGCCGATCCGCGAGCTACACACAACACAGGCCCTTCGCCGACCTCGACGTCTCGACCGCGCCCGGAGAGTGTTTCGACGAGCTGCGAGAGGCGCACACGCAGCTCGTCAGCAACCACGACCTCACCGACAAGTGCCAGCGGAGCTGGCGGACGCAGGTCGTGTGCCGGGAGGTGGTGAGCCCGGGCACTGCGACCAACGAGGCGAAGGCGGAGCCGAGGTTCCGCTTCTTTCCGCACGGGCTGACGCCGGCTGCGGAGCTGCTTCCCCTCGCCCAGTTCTCGTCCGCCAACGAGTGCCTGCACCAAGCGCAGCGGCGGTACACCTCTGGCGTGCACCACTCTAACTGGCTCGACCTTGCCAAGGAGCTTACCAACGAGGCGCTTCGCAGTGGCGGCCGCAAGGCGCCCTCCAAAGGCAACAAGGTCGGAAGACGCAATAACCACAAATGCTGGCGAGAGGCGATCCGTTTTGTCGCCGTCAGCCAACCAGGGGCCGGCGCCTTCCTCAACGCCATCCCCATGCGTGATGATATGAAGATGGAGTCCTGGGCGATGTATGATGTAACTTATTCCGGGGCCGGTGTGCGGGGAGCGAACCTTAGCGACCGCCCAGAAGCTTTCTGAGCGACCCAATCGGGCCGGGATCATCAGCATATGTCCCCTCCACAACATCGTGGGCGTTTGAGCGGTATTTGAGGACCACCGCCACTCTGAAGTTCGGCCGGGTGGTCTGCAGACCCCCCCCCCCGGAGCACAAGGACCGGCACGCCCCCCTCTTTGGGCCATTCCCTTGTCCACAAAGTTCGAGTGATAGCCAAAGATACACTTGACTATACATTTCAAAGATACACCTTTATAACATCCCACCGGTGTATCTTCGAAGTGTATCTTCGAGTGTATCTTGAGTGTATCTCAGCGCCGGGCGCCCCGACAGGAGACGAGCCCGATGGCAGCCATGGGGAGGAGGGAGAGGGAGTTCGAGTAGAGAGTCGGGCCCCAGGGCGACGTGAAGCCGAGGTGCGGCCCGACGATGTGTTTTCCATACGCCATCTCCACCTGATCAATTAATTAATTCGTTAGTTAATTAAGGTGCGGCCCGACGACGTGCTTTCCAACGCCATATCCACCGAGATGATGCAAAAGTAGGCGCCGACCCAGCTGTTCACAGCTGCAGGTCGGGTGCCAGCCGTGCCTCCGCGGGAGCCGCCTCTCTACTAACACAGGCCCGTCGAGAGACCTCGAGAGCGGCCACGCACGGCCCGTTCTCCTTGGCGCTCGCGATGGCCGACTCCACCCCGCCCAGGATGGCCAAACCGTCGCAAACGTACGTCGCGCGGCTCAAGAGCAAACTAGGCCGGTCGGGCTCCAGGGTGCGCCACGGCCACTCGCAGGTGCCGCTCACAGACATCGAGTCTGGGGAGGGCGCGGCTGGCGTCGCTCCTCGGGCCGCGGCGCCCGCGGGTGGCGACGCAGAGACGGGCTGGGACTCGATCCAGCCCGACCCGAACCCTCCGTTTGTGAGTCTGAGCTCCACGGTGCGGCTGCTCGGCTGCCCCGGGGCGATGGAGTGCGGCCAGCTGTGCACGCGGCTGCCAATCTTCTGCCTGTTCGGCATCTTCATCGCGCCGGCCGTCTACTTCCTCGGCCTCGCCGCAGTCCTCGTCCTGCTGCTGCTGGTGCTCTGCCTCGGCTGCCCCTGCGGCATCGCCCTGGCGTGGCTCTTCCCGCGCTGCTGGCCCGGCTTCAAGCCGCCGAGCGAGGTTGCGTGGAAGGCGGCCAAGGCGCTGCAGACGCTGCGCGTCGTCACATACACGAACCCGAAGCCAGCGGAGTGGAACGCCGAGCAGCTTGCCGACAAGCGGCAGCTGAAGACGGCGCTGCTGCGCTACGCAATCGCGATCCGGGTGCCGGTGTCGGCCGAGCAGGAGCCGCTCGCCTCAGTATCTCTCTGCCAGATCTCGTATCTCGGCTAGATCTCATATCTCGGCTAGATCTCGGGAGGGGGCCGAGCACGCGTCGCTCGAGGGTGCGGGCGGGCCTCCGACGATTCGTCACTACGCATCAACCAGTCACCATGAATCGCAGGAGTCGCTCGAGGGTTCGGGCGGCCCCCCCGCGACGGACGGCGAGGACGGCGGCTTCGTGTCGGCGGCGGGGCGTCTGTTCCAGCTGCTGCCCACGAACGCGATCGACACGCAGGAGCCGTTTGCCGCGGGGGAGGACCCGGTCGCGTACGTGATGGACAGCCTGCGGTGGATCTACCCTCCGATCGACATGGTCTTGGAGACGCGGGCCGCCGGCTCGCCGCTGAGGACCGGCGTCTCTTCACAGCGCGTGTGTGTGTGTGTGTGAACAGGTCTGGCCCGAGAAGACGACAGACCTCGCCCTCACCTGGCCAAGCGCCAGCGGGCGCGCGCCCCGCTGTGAACGGCGTCTCTTCACCGCTTCCGGGGTGTGAACAGGTTCTGCGTCAACGGGCTCGGCGGCGCGCCGCGCTGTGAACGGCGTCTCTTCACAGCTGCCGGGGTGTGAACAGGTTCTGCGTCAACGGGCTCGGCGCGCACCGGATCGTGGCGGTGCCGGCGCGCGGCGAGCGGAGCGGGCCGGACTTGCTAGTGCCGGAGGAGGCGCCGTGCCCTAGACGCTGAATACGGAGTCATGTCTCCCCCCTGCATCTCCCCATATCTCCCCGCATCTCCCCATATCTCGAGCCCTAGACGCTGAATACGGAGTCATGTCTCTCAACCCAGCGCTCGAGAGGACACGGACTCAGTTGTGTTCGGCCGTGCTCGGCCGTATCCACTGTATTCGCCCCCCTCGTAGATCTACTCACGCGGTGCTCTGACGGCACTGCACAGTACACCTGCATTCCCGCCCTGAGGTTGGTGTATTCAGCGCGCAGGCGTCGTGCGTGCCGTGCGGCCGGATGGCGCGTGCAGTCAAGCATTGAGACGGAATGGGTGTGTGTGTGTGGCAGGCGTCGTTTGTCGTGCGCACCAACTTCCTCTCGCAGCTGACCGTCAAGGAGCGCCTGGTCCCATACCTCCAGAGCACCGAATCCAGTGTGGGTTCAGGTCCGTGGTCTGGTGTGGTACTAGGACGGGTGCGACACGTACGGCGGCGACTGCTATCTCGACGCGCTCTGGCGGCCCGTCTGCATCGTCCGGCAGACACAGGTTGGCGTCGGGGGGGGAGGGGGGGAGGCGGCACGGGACCTACCCAGACCGGACACAGGATGGACTCCGGATTGGCCCCCCACCCCCACCCTGCACCTCTCATACACATCTCGACCCACACACACACTCCTCTCCCATGACGCGGCTCTGGCCATGCCACGAGGTTGCGAGCTGGGAGCAGCCGCACTTCGACATCTGCTACCCGCCTCGCCTGCTGCACGCGGCGACGGCGCCGGCGGACCTGCCCGAGCCCGTAGAAGCGGAATATCTCCCCATATCTCCCGATATCTCCCCATATCTCGGGCCCGTAGAAGCGGAATACGCGCTCTTCTATCCCAGCCAGCGCTCGAGAGGACACGTACTCAACTGGTGTCAGCCGTATTCACGTAATCTTGCTCGATGTACTCCCGCGGTGCTCTGAGTACGCTGCGGCAAGACCGTCCTCCCTTGAGGTTGACGTATGGTGAGCTTGGTGATCTGATTGGGTGAGCAGACGTGAGAGTGATTGAGGGGAGGGAGAAGTGTGAGAGAGAAAGAATAGTGAGGGAGGGGAGGGAGAAGTGTGGGAGAGAAGTGAGAGAGCGTATGCAGCGCGTATGCAGCGTGTTGGTATCTCCCCGTATCTCCCCGTATCTCCCCGTGTCTCCCCGTGTCTCCCCGTATCTCCCCGTATCTCCCCGTATCTCCCCGTGTCTCCCCGTGTCTCCCCGTATCTCCCCGTATCTCCCCTATCTCCCCGTATCTCCCCCGCATCTCCCCGTATCTCCCCGTCTCTCCCCTATCTTGTTGGCGTACTTGAGGAGACACATCTCTTTTCGCACACATAGCAGGGGTGGGAGTGAGGGGGTACGGGGGGAGGGGGTGTGTGCAGCGCGTAGGCCCGAGCCGCCCAAGGGTTGGGGCGCCAACCACATCTTCACTCACGGCGACGATGTTGGGACCGTCGCCCTCGCCGCCGCGTCTGCCGCCGGGCTGCGCGCGGGCAATCGTCTTTCAGGGGCGGGCCCACTCGTCCGGGTGTGTCGTTCAAAGTCAGTCGCCAGTGATTCATAGGCAATCGTGTCACGCTCGGCGCGCCGCGCGACTGGGAGTACTTCAAGTTTGTGTTTCGCTCGAGCCTCTTCGGCATCGTCACGCTGGTCGACCACCTCTACGGCGTGCACCTGCAGGCCTCCGGCATCTCCCCACCTCGCCCCACCTCTCCCCACCTCTCCCCACCTCTCCCCACCTCTCCCCACCTCTCCCCACCTCTCCCCACCTCTCCCCACCTCTCCCCACCTCTCCCCACCTCTCCCCACCTCTCCCCACCTCTCCCCACCTCTCCCCACCTCTCCCCACCTCTCCCCACCTCTCCCCACCTCTCCCCACCTCTCCCCACCTCTCCCTACCTCTACGGCGTGCACCTGCAGGCCTCCGGCATCTTTACGTTGGCTGTGCAATCTCCCCCAATTTTTCCCCGACAATCTCCCCCACAATCTCCCGCAATCTCCCCAGGTCTCCAACATCTTTACGATGGCGATGCGCGAGCAGCTCTCCAAGGACACGCCGCTCCGCCGTTTCCTCGTACCGTTCACCTACGGCGCCGTCTTTACGTCCTAGACACTTCCTAGACTCTTCCTAGACTCTTCTTAGACACTCCCTAGACACTTCCCAGACTCTTCCTAGACACCTCCTAGACACTCCCTAGACACTCCCTAAACACTTCCTAGACACTTCCTAGACACTTCCTAGACACTCCCTAAACACTTCCTAGACTCTTCCTAGACACTTCCTAGACACTCCCTAGACACTTCCCAGACTCTCCCTAGACAACTCCCTAGACAACTCCCTAGACACTCCCTAAACACTTCCAAGACTCATCCTAGACACTTCCTAGACTCTTCCTTACGACCTCACAAGACGAGGAGGAATACACACGACAACGGCTCCTAGGCACCATCGCCATCAACGACGCAGCACGCGTCACCCTGGTCACGCCCGACTCGTGGGCGCGCCGCGCGTACCCCACCACCCACGGGACCGAACCCACACCGGATTCGACCGCTCTGGAGGTGTGGGACTAGGTGCCGCGCGCGTACCCCTTCGACGAGGAGGGTCTGCAGCTGGCGTGGGCGAACGCGTACCGGCACCTTCCCGGCGGCGTGGAGCTCAAGGTCGAGCTCACCGAGCGCGCCTTCCTCCAGACCATCTTCGACCGCAAGGCGTACATCGACATCCGCATCGAGTCGGGCGTGGACACGCAGTACTACAAGCAGGCGCTCGAGTACTGGGTGATGCTGCGCGCGTTCGTCAAGGGCACCTTCGGCGTCTACGCCCCTAATTAATAGGTGATTAGCGCCTAATTAATAGCTCATTATTAATTAGGCACCTTCGACGTCTACTACCCCACGGCCGCCGACCAGCAGCGCTTCGTGGAGGACGCGGAGACGGAGCACTTCCTGCTGCAGGCGATGGGCAATCTCGGGCAATCTCGGGCAATCTCGGGCAATCTTGGGCAACCTCGGGAGGCGGAGCACTTCCTGCTGCAGGCGATGGGCAATCTCGGGCAATCTCGGGCAATCTCGGGCAACCTCGGGAGACAGAGCACTTCCTGCTGCAGGCGATGGGAGGCATTCAGGCGACGTCGGACGTGCTGGTCATCGGCGACGAGTCGCTGCCGCATGCGTGGGAGTCGTTTGCTCCGGCGGAAAAGTACACGATGGTGATCGACGCGATCACGCGCTTCATCGACGTCGTGACCGCGGGCCACGAGCAGGCGGGAGATGTGGGGAGAGATGGGGAGATAGGACCGCGGGCCACGAGCAGGCGGGAGATGTGGGGAGAGATGGGGAGATAGGACCGCGGGCCACGAGCAGGCGGGAGATGTGGGGAGAGATGGGGAGATAGGACCGCGGGCCACGAGCAGGCGGGAGATGTGGGGAGAGATGGGGAGATAGGACCGCGGGCCACGAGCAGGCGGGAGATGTGGGGAGAGATGGGGAGAGATGGGGAGATAGGACCGCGGGCCACGAGCAGGCGCGGGGCCCGGTGCAGGCGTACGCTCTCCAGGCCTCCAATCGCCAACTCTTCAGCTTTTCGCAGGTGGGCAAGGTGCAGGCGTACGCTCAGGACGCCTCCTTCGCCTCCTTTTCTTGGGCCGCCTCGCTGCGCCCCCGGTGGGCCGGAGGGACTGGGGAGGGCGTCCTCGCCGCGCCAAAGGAGGTTGCGACCGGGCAGGCGCTGATCATGGCGCTCACTTCGACGCCGATGCCGGATCTGGTGGCGGCGGCCGGGGGCGAGCAGGACTGGTCCAAGATCTTTTGGGCGGCGGATGGCGAGCAGCGCGCGCAGCTCGACGAGGTTTATGTGCAGTTCCAGGACAGGCTGCGCGCCTTCTCGGCAAAGTGCCAGGAGGTGAATGAGGACGCGCTGGCGGCGTTCGAGTCCGGGCAGCAGAACGTCGCCGGCAAGCCGCTGGTCAACTTTGGCCTCTGGTCGCATGACCCGCAGTACCTCGAGACCAGCGTCAGCATCTGAAGGATGCGCCGCCGCGATCCCAGCCCCCCCCCCCCCCCCTCCCCCGCCCCCCTATGCACCCTCGTGCTCTATTCCGGCGCGACACGCGCCCGGTCGTGGCGCAGCCTCCCCATCCCCTGCACACCTACGGGGCCTTACTGTACAATGACCCTCCTTCCACCGCGCGCACGGCCCGGCAGTCGCTCTCCATCGCATGTCCATGTGTTGAAACGGGTTGGCGCGAGCGCGTTGCACGACGCATCACCACGCGCTCTCACCTCGCTCCGCTCTCTCGCAACTACGCGGATATGTAAGGATGAAGAAAATCCATCTGGACGAAGTTCTTTAACGAATACGAAATACTGATAGCAGAGTCTTGCATGTGTGTACACCGGAGATTCGAGGGAGCGAGCCTGCCCTCATAAGTCATATGGCTGCGGGGACCCTCCTGCTCCTCTCCGGCTCTCGCAAGTTCGACCACTCCCGCCAGTGGAGCGAGCTCCTCAAGCTGCTTCTGTGCGGTCCGCCCACCAACTTCTTGTCGGGCGGCTGTGCCTGCCGCTGCCGTGTGCAAACCCGCGCTCTCGCGAGTCGCGCTTGACGCGCCGGCCTCGAACGCCTATACGACCATCCCGCGACGCTCTGTCGCGGCTAGCTGTTCTGCAACGCATGGCAGCCATCCCATCGCCTCGCTCGCACCCACATTTTCGGTGAAAGAGTGTCGCTTGAACTCGGGAGCGTCACCCGTGCAAGGCGGGATGTGCCAGCAGAGCGGCCAGGCGCTGTTTGCCTGATTTGTGTATGAATGCAGAACCGTGAGGGCTGCGAGTCTAACTACGCGCTATTGCCAACCAGGACTATGTGCCAGCACGACGAGCAGCCCGAGGTTGTCTGCCGCGACGCTGAGCCAGAGCGGGAGGCCGACGGTGGCGGCAGCGACGACGACGGCTAGGTTGAAAGAGAGGGCGAGCAGCACCTGATCACAGCACCCTCTTTGAACGGACGCCACTAGGGCACAGCCCGCTTCGCCGCACAGGAGTGGGCGAGTAAGAGGCGATCTCGGAGCATCTCCGGTTCAATCTCGGTTAGCGCACATTGAAGAGCACGAGCGAGGTAGTCCGCCGCGCCAGCACAATAGCGGCGGGAAGCTCGCCTGAAAAGGAGGGAGGACGTGACAGACGTCACGACGTTCCAGCACACACCATCTTGGCGGGAGGCGCTCGCCGATGTCGCTCTGCAACACCGCGCTCGCAGCGTCGAGGGTCGCTTGCGAGCCAATCTCCTGCAGGACCACCCCAACGTGGGCCGAGGCGAGCGCCGCCATGTCGTTGAGGCCGTCCCCTGCTCGCAAGCCACGTGTGAATACCCGCGTCGCAGCAACGTTCTAATGCTGCTGAGGCGGCGCCAACAAAGCCGACCGCAATCGGCCCGCGCTTGCTCTTCGCCTTGGCCGTCGGTAGCAGCGGCGCCGCCTTGTGAGCGGGCCCAGCGTCGTCGGGAAAGCTCTTCGCGAGGAGGATACGCGCCTGTAAAGAGACGTAGTCGAGATGCAACTGAGGCCGATTGCTTGGCGGCTTCAAGGAGGCGCGCGTGCCTTATCGTCCGGCAGCAGGCCCGCGTGCACGTCCTCGGCCTTGATTCCGACCTCCGCCGCCACACTGGTAGCCGGGCCGCCCTTGTCACCCGTCAGGAGCAGGGGAGTCACGCCGAGGCTGCGAAGCCGCGAGATGACCTCGACCGAGGCGGGCTTGAGTCCGTCCTGAAGCACTAGCACCGCGGCAACCTCCGGCTCGGCGTCCGCCTCCACCTGCGCACAGGTCCCGTACTCAGGAGCGCCGGTCCGCATCAGTCGCGACGCGACGTGGGCGCCGCTTCACCGTCGCGTAGAGCACCGTCCTCCCTTCGCAGGAGATGTCCTGGATGGTCTTGGCCATCGTCGGCGGGATCTCGGCCCCAACAAAGTCGATGAAGTCCTTGTTGCCTGCTCGCAGCATGTCACCGTGAAACTACGCTGTTCACAACCATGGACAGACGATAGGATGCTCGATGCCGACGCCAACAATCTTGCCGTCAATGCCCCCCGTGACGCCGTTGCGGCCATGCCGCTTGAATGGGTTGACCATAGGCAGCTCGTCCGAGCCGGCAAAGTTGACCTATAGCCGATGTGCATCCGAGATTGCGCCGAGAGCCGACGAGATACCCGAACAAGAACCGACGAGCTGACCACACAGCCGGTGTAGCTTTGCACGATGGAGCGTGCGATCGGATGGTTATCGCGCACCTCCACCGCCGCCAGCCAGCGGTGCAACTGCTCCTTAGTGTAGGTGCTCGAGAAGACCACGAACTCGACGAGGTCGAATTGGCCTGCTCGCAGAAATAGACGCGTGAAGAGGCGCTCATTGTGCGGGGCCGTAGGTGTGGCGACAGCGCACCCTTCGTCAGCGTGCCCGTCTTGTCGAGACCAATATACTTCATCCTGCTGAGCGCCTCTAGAGCCGTGCTCTGCTTGAGCAGCAGCGAGTGCCTGGTCACGGCCGCATCTGTCAGCTTGTCTTGACGGCAGCAGGCGCCGGGGAGAGGCAGAGCACCGTTTCGCGAGCGCGGCGAGCGCGGCGCCGTAGGCGAACGGCGCTGCGCCAAGGAGTGCGCAGGGGCATCCCGCGACGAGCACGACGAGGAACTGCTTGAATCCTGTTCACAGCTCGCCTTTGAACGGGGCGCTGGTCAGGGCAAACAGCCCGACTAGGGACAGCCCGAAGCCTTGCACGTAGCCGATCGCGGCGGCCGCGAGGATGATCGCCGGCGTGTAGAACTTGGCAAAACGGCTGACTGTCTCCTCCGTCTCTGAGAGGGTGCCCTGCGCGTCCTTGACGGAGTCCATCTGTTCAAGGCCAAAGACGTGAGACGAGCGGGGCGATGTGTCCCCTCCATGGCTGGTCCACCAATGACGCGGTGAAGCTCTTGTCCGCCGACGCATCCGCTTTCACCTCCATGTACCTGAGATTGCGCGGATGACCGTCACTCCTTGGAAGCTCTGTTCGCCCTCATGCGTCGCGCACCCGGACGCGACAATTGCGCCGCTTTTGACGGACGCGCCCTGCTCCTTCTCGATGGGCATCGCCTCGCCGGTGAGTCGGCTCTCGTCGACCGACGCCTTGCCCGTCGTCACGACTCCTACAGCAACCGTTGCTGTCATCAGCCTCTCGCGCCCGAATCGCCGATGCAACTTCTTCCACCGTCTGTCGGAATCGCGTCTCCCGCGCGCACGATGTACACGTCCCCAGCCTAGTCAAGACGCCTCCGCGTGAAGAGGCGCCGTTGAGAGGTCCCAGTCCCGGCGAAGCGTGCGCATATCTCCGCCTGCAACTCCGGCACCGGCTTGGAGCTGCCGCCCGGCATGTCAACCTTTGGCGGCGGGCCGTTTGCAGCCCCGCGCAGCTGCCGCTCGAAGCGCTCGACGAAGAAGAACTTGACCATGTCCATCAGCGAGACGATGGCGCCCACCTATTCACAGGGTCAAGTGTGAAGAGACCCACCTGCAGGCCATGCCCACATTGAGAAGCTGTCGCAGACCGATGCGGCCTCGACGTAGTCTCCGAGCACCACCGAGCCGAGCGCGGCCACGGTCATCAGAAACTCGACGTTGGGCAGACCGCGACGGACGGAAAGGTACGCCTGGAGAAGGGGCGAGGAGCTCACCACCGAGCCCATCTGAGTCTGGGCGGTCTCGCATCTCGGCGGCACGCAGCTACTGGCGCGCGCCGAGTGGAACATCGGCCAGCTGAGCAGGATCGAACCCCCGGCCAGGCCAAGCGCGATCGTGGGCAGCACGCCATACAAGTTGAGGCCAAGCGCCCCGCAAAAGAGAAGGATCTGGAGTGCCGTCACTAGCGACCGCATCACCTCTGCGCCCGTCAGCGAGGCCCCACCGCCGCCGCTGCCGCTCGCGCCAGCGTCGGCGATTGAGGCGCCGAGCTGCTTCGTGTTGAGGATCCGGACGATTTCGGCCGCCTGCGGGGCGCAGTGTGCGAGGCGCGCGATACACGGGTTTTGATTAGCACAGGAGGTGATGTCGTTCGTCTTTGCTATGACTGGAGAGCGCCTCAAGCTTCGCCCGGTGGTCGACAATGCAGCGGCGGTCATTGACGCTGATCTTGATCTCAAGGACGTCCTCCTACGAGCAAGGGAGCTTTGGCAGCTGAAAGGGGAATTTGTGTCCATGCGGATTGGGCGTTGATATGACCCGTTGGCTCGGCTTCTCTCGTTCCTCGCCGCCACGCTGGGATCTTGTGTCGACCTCCCTCGCGTGTTTGCTTTTGTAGGCACGCCTCGAAAGGCTCAAGCAGCTTGCGGACGAGGGCGGCCTCGCCCTGGCAGCACAGGTGGTCGACGCGAATGATAGTGCTCTGAACCACATTGCCGGACTTGTCGTCCGCCATCTGTCCGTGAAGCTCGACTCGCGGCGCGATGAGTTATGCGTGCCCGGTCGTCGATCCCGCGAAGGGCACCGGATCGCGGGATTATTTCATTATACCCGCGCAGATTTCTTTTTAATTCGCCACCCAACTACCCACCACCAACCCTGAGAACCTGCCGCGGAATTTCTTTAAATTCTAAATTTCTTCTTCTCACTGCCCCAGCCAGCGCCTGCGGTGTGTTTGTCACCAGCACCCCTCACATGTCGCGCTCCCCTCGCGCCGCACGCACCGAGGAGGACGCCCCGCCCACGGACTGGCTGGCCGAGCTGCCGCACGAGCTGCACCTCCGCATCCTCGAGGGCGTCGACGACTTCTCCGACTGCGCCGCCTTCAGCCTCGCGTCGCCGCGCCTCGGCCTCCTCGCCCTGCGCAGCGGCCTGGCGCGCTTCAAGGACCCTCTCTTCGCCGTGGCGATGCGGCTGCTGCTCAGCCAGCGCTTCGTCGGTGGCTTCGGTGTGGTGATGCTCAGCGAGGACACGCTCCGCAGATATGCCGCCGATCACCGCGCCAGCGCCGACCACTTCCCATGGCTAGCGAGGGTGAGCCCGGCGCTCCGCCTCGCGTCGGAAGTGGAGGGCGCTGGAGAGCGCCGAACCGAGGTCTGGAGGCTGCGGCGCGGCTATAATTGCGCGAAGCTGCGTTTGCGTTTCTTGCGGAGCGGCCAGGTGAAGCATCTCAGGGGCGAGCGAGGAGCAGAGCGGAAGGTGCGCATGGAGTTTCCCAGCGGCACTGTGCATTGCTACGAGGGCGAGCGAGGTGCAGAGCGGATGGTGCGCATGGAGTTTCCCAGCGGCACTGTGCATTGCCACGAGGGCGAGCGAGGTGCGGAGCGGAAGGTGCGCATGGAGTTTCCCAACGGCACTGTGCATTGCTACGAGGGCGAGCGAGGAGCAGAGCGGAAGGTGCGCATGGAGTTTCCCAGCGGCACTGTGCATTGCTACGAGGGCGAGCGAGGTGCAGAGCGGATGGTGCGCATGGAGTTTCCCAGCGGCACTGTGCAGTACTACGAGGGCGAGCGAGGTGCAGAGCGGATGGTGCGCGCGGAGTTTCCCAGCGGCGAGGTGCAGCACTACGAGGGCGAGCAAGGTGCGGAGCGGAAGATGCGCGCGGAGATTCCTAGCGGCGCCGTGCAGCATTTCGAGGGCGAGCGAGGTGCGGAGCGGAAGGTGCGCGTGGAGCGGGCCGACGGCGAGGTGCAGCACTACGAGGGCGACAAAGGTGCGGAGCGGAAGGTGTGCACGGAGTTTGCCGACGGCGAGGTGCAGTACTACGAGGGCGACAAGGTACAGAGCGGAGGGTGCGCGCGGAGTTTGCCAGCGGCACCTTGCTGCACTACGAGGGCGACAAAGGCGCGGAGCGCTTGTGCAGCTCTTTTGAGGGCGAGCGAGGCGCGGAGTAGAACGCGCGCGAGGTGTTGATCGACAAGTACAAGTACTACGAGGGCGAAAAGGGTGGCAGGCAGGTGCAAAGCACGCGGCTCGTTCCCAAAAGGAGTTACCCGGTCGTACGAAGTTTTCGGGGGTAAGGTAGGTACGTAAGGTAAGGTAAACTTCTCCACACACACAAAGTGGTGGGGCAAGGGGGGGCGACCCTCGCATCTCCACACCCGGACACGGGCAGGAGCCCCACGGCATTCAAAGTGCAAGCACTGGCCCGGTGCACGTGGGTGAGCAGCCTGCCCCTCCCTCCCGACAAACCAACTCCCGCACACACACAATCGCACTCTGGCCAGCGAATGACTCCGAATGACTCACTGTGTGTGCTAAGACAGAATCTCCGCAGACGGCCAAAACGGGCCGTGCCGCGTTTGTGGTGTCCTCTCAAGCACTAGCTTCTGGGCGCCGCACTCGAGTGGGCGGGTCACATCTATGTGGGCCCAAGTGCGCACTAGGCGCATATGCTAGTGATATCCTGCCCTATGGGAGGCAGAGGGATGGGGGGAGGGGGGGGCAGAGGTAAGGTGGGGTGAGACTGGGGAGGACCTCAGAGATCCTCCATGGGGGTGGGGTCCGGCTTGGGCCAGGTACCAATTTTGTCGAATTTATTTCAAAATCTGCAGGCGCGGAGCGCCTGCGAAAATTTTGAAGAAATTTGCAGTCGGGCCTGATTTTCATCAAGATCTTTCAAATTTGCGGTGTGGAGTTGGGGGGTGGGTTAGGTTAGGGTTATTAGGGTTAGAGGGTTAGGGTTAGGGTTAGGGTTAGGGTTAGGGTCAGGGTTGTCTGGTTGTGTCTGTATATGCCAGCGTTGCAGGGTTCTGCGCTGGGATCTGGCCCCACAGCGCCGACGACTAAGACTCAGCCCCACACGCTGACCTAGGGTTAGGGTTAGGGTTAGGGTTAGGGTTAGGGTTAGGGTTAGGGTTAGGGTTAGGGTTAGTCTTCTTGTGTTTGTATGCCAGCGTTGCACAGAGTTCTGCGCTGGGATCTGGCCCCAGCGCCGACGAGTAAGACTCAGCACCGCACGCTGACCCCACCAAATGCCGCCTCAGGGCGCCAGGCCGCCAGCCACTTCTTACACGCGGCCGGCGCCCTCTCGCGGCAAAAGGGTCGAGCGAGCGGGCAGAGTCGCGATGTCTGCGCACCCGCGTGCCGATGGGCGGCACACGCAACCGAGAGAGGCCCTGTCACGCCGCCAGTAGCGTTCTCCGCACTCCCCACGCCACCAATTGCCGCCTCAGGGCGCCAGCCACCTCTTACACGCGGCCGGCGCCCTCTCGCGGCAAAAGGGTCGAGCGAGCGGGCAGAGTCGCGCGATGTCTGCGCACCCGCGTGCCGATGGGCGGCACACGCAACCGAGAGAGGCCCTGTCACGCCGCCAGTAGCGTTCCGCACTCCCCACGCCACCAATTGCCGCCTCAGGGCGCCAGCCACCTCTTACACGCGGCCGGCGCCCTCTCGCGGCAAAAGGGTCGAGCGAGCGGGCAGAGTCGCGCGATGTCTGCGCACCCGCGTGCCGATGGGCGGCACACGCAACCGAGAGAGGCCCTGTCACGCCGCCAGTAGCGTTCCGCACTCCCCACGCCACCAATTGCCGCCTCAGGGCGCCAGCCACCTCTTACACGCGGCCGGCGCCCTCTCGCGGCAAAAGGGTCGAGCGAGCGGGCAGAGTCGCGATGTCCCTGCGCACCTGGGTGTTCGCCGCCTATATGCTCTATCCTGTGCCAAGACGGACACATTTTGACAATCAAAATCTACCTCAAAATTTGCGGCCGCCCCTCGAAATTTGCTGATCAAAATTTGCGGTGGCCCGGATCGAAACCTGTACTTTGGCCAAGGTCCGGCTCGAAAAGGTCAAAGTGCTCGATGCCGGTCCCGCCATCGCCGCCGACGCCGTCGCCCTCGTCCGCCTCGGAGGCGGGGGTCGTCGGGCGGGGCGCCTCGCCCGTCGCGAACCTGCCGCCGAACACGGCGTCGGCCGGCGCCGAGGCGCCGGCAGCCGTGATCAGGTCGGCGACCTTTCGGTCCCTGCAGGCCGCATCAATTTTGCCGCTCCGGGACGGCTCGTAGAGCTCGTTGGCGAGCCAGTCCCGGGCGACCTTCGTCGCCACGGAGCCCAGAGGGACCGTGGCGTACACCAGGTCGCCGAACCCGCTGCCCCCCTCGGGAGGCAGCGAGTAGGCGACCTGAATATTGGACCCGCTGGGGTTGCGCGCCGCCTGCGCCGCAGCCTCCAAGCCCTCCATCACGATCTCGACGTTCTCGCGCAGCTGCGCGTGCGGGTAGTCCGCACGCTCGGCCTCGCTCGCGGCCGCCGCCGCAGCCTTCCTCTCCGCCTTGTTCGCCTTCTGCCGGGCCTTTTTGGCCCTGCGAGCCGCGGCCCGAGCATCCTTTTCTGCTCCTCCGTCGGCTCCTGCTTCCGCGACGCCTCGGGGCCGATGTGACCAAGCGCTGGTAGCGTGGTTTGACCTCACACCCATGCGTAGGGGGCCCACAGCGCCCCAAAATCCACCAGTGTGGATTTTTTTAATATACCAAAAGGAGGGCTCCCTCTACGCTGTGGGATTTCGCGCAATCGCTTGACTCTGAAAAGCTCGCTATATGTACCGCCTTTCTGAGCGCTGTGGTCGCCGCAGACTGGCTCCAACTTGACGGCGGCATGGAGGCACCATGCCTCCATGCCGCCGTCATTGACCGCGGTGGAGTTCTTCTTCTTGAGAGTGGCGAGAGGCGAATCCGGGACGGAAGATGAGATTTATGCATTGTGGCTGTGATGTGGGGCGACCGAGACCGACAGAGATGTGGATGCCCCCGAGTTCATTTTATATAGATGTGGATGGTAAAGAGGAAAGAGTGCTTGTGTGAAAATGATCGTGTGTCGTACGACTGTGCCCGCGCTTTTCTTTTTCTCGCGATGTCCACCCGCCGCGCCGCCGCTCGCGCCGCCTCGCCTCCGCCTCCGCCGCCGCTCCCTCGCCAGAAACGCCGCCGCCCGCCCGCCTCCTCGACCTCCCCACGGAGCTCCTCGTGCGCGCCATCTCTCGCCTCGACGGCCCCCTCGACATCGCTCGCGTCGCGGCCGTCTCGCTGCTCTTCCACGCCTCGCTTGCGGTGGAGGCCATCCGCTTGTGGGCGCAAGAGCGCGGCTTCGAGCTGCCGGCGCTGCCGGAGGGCGAGGGCTGCGCCGTGCGGTGGCTGTGCTATTCGGCACTGCTGTGCGAGGCCAACCCGCCGGCGAGGGCGGCCGCAGGCTTGTGGCACAGCCTCTTCATCGACGGCGAGGGGCGGCTCTTGTCGTGCGGCAAGGCTGAGAGCTGGACGCCGGGACTGCTCGGTCACGGCGAGGGCGTGCCGCGGCTCAACACGCCGACGCGCCTTACTTCGGCGCTGGGCGCCGAGCGTGCAGTGAGCGTGTCGGCTGGAGACAACCAAAGCCTCGCCCTCACCGTCAGTGGGGCTATCTGGAGCTGGGGCCAGGGAGGCTTTGGCGCGCTGGGCCACGGCGACCGGCAGAGCCAGTGCGAGCCGATGAAGGTTGAGGCTTTTGATCAGCACGTCGTCGCTGTCTCGGCTGGAGGGTCGCACAGCCTCGCCCTCGCCGCCGACGGCGGCGTCTGGAGCTGGGGCGATGGAGACGAAGGTCGGCTGGGCCACGGCGACACGCAGCACCAGCTGCTGCCCAAGAAGATCGAGGCCTTGGCTGGGCAGCGCGTCGTCGCTGTGTCGGCTGGAGGCCACCACAGCCTTGCACTCACCGCCAATGGCGCTCTCTGGAGCTGGGGCCAGGGAGCCTATGGCAAGTTGGGCCACGGCGACAGGCAGGACCAGCTGCTTCCCAAGAAGGTCGAGGGCTTTGCTGAGCAGCGCGTCATCGCAGTCTCGGCTGGAGACCAGCACAGCCTCGCCCTCACCGCCGACGGCAGCGTCTGGAGCTGGGGCCAGGGAGGCTCTGGCCGGTTAGGCCACGGCGACCTGCAGCGCCAGCTGCTGCCGAAGAAGGTCGAGGCCTTTGCTGAGCAGCGCGTCGTCGCTGTATCGGCTGGGGCTATGCACAGCCTCGCCCTCACCGCCGACGGCGCCGTCTGGAGCTGGGGCGATGGAATCTTCGGCAGGCTGGGCCACGGCGACCACCAGCAGAACCAGCTGCTGCCCAAGAAGGTCGAGGCGTTGGCGGGGCGGCGCGTCGTCGCTGTGTCGGCTGGAGGCAGCCACGGCCTCGCCATCACCGCCGACGCCGCTTTCTTTACCTGGGGCAAGGGTGAATACGGCTGCCTAGGCCACGGAGAGGACCTGTCGAACCAGCTGCTGCCCAAGAAGGTCGAGGCGTGGGTCTGAACAAGCGGGCCGTTCCGAGGCGCGCACGTCTTTGTTGACGACGCGTGTTGAGTCTCGCCACGCAGAGTTACCCCGCGTCACGCCCCCGGGCGCGTTTCGTTGTGTCATCTTCATTCCCCACTCCGCCACTTCTGATTGAGTGTGTTTATCTGATTGTTGGGCTCCGTTTGGCGCACGATTCAGAGATGTTAGACGTGCACCCCGACAGACACACCAAATGTCGCCCATGCCCCTTCCCGGTATTTTTTCTTTTTTCCTCGCAACGCTACAAGACGCGCTATGTTTTCTTTTTTATTTTTCTTTTCGTGTGTATCGCTATCTCGGAGCCTCGCAATGGCACATGGTACACTTGGGAACGCGCCGACCTGCCCTACTCCTCAAGCAATGTGCAGCTGTCAGTCGCGCGAGGGCTAGCCCGCCGTGAGGTCGACACGCGGACCCACGCGACCGCGACACAGAGAACGACTGCCGAAATGAGCAGGCCAAGGCGAACAGCCAGCCATGGCAAACCTGCCTGCAGACAGTCTGCATCTATGCCAGATACATCGTCTTCATTGCAAGCACGAGGGTCTGCAAACAGCAAGATTGCAATGTGGTTAAAAAATGGGCGACCCCCGCTTGGCACGAAGAGCAGCCACACCCGCAAAATGGCCGTGGGGTCGTGCAAAAAGGCTGGAAAAAGGTAATGGTCCAAGGGATTGAGCCACAGACATGCGAAGAGGAATGTCATTGTGCAGTACGCGTCGCCAGCCACATACACGAGCTGTGCGAAGACGGAGCCGACCGACCGCTGGCGCAGGAGCGGCCAAATGCCTGCCATGACAAGGCAGCAGAGGAAGATGCATCCTTGAAAAGCTATCAGCAGGCTCTCGCACTGAAGTGGGGCCTTGATCTGCAAATTCAAGGAATGGGAGCGAACTAATCCCTCGAGAGGCTTAAAGGTGACCATGAAAGACTCAGGCTCGAGGTTGACGGCGACCACGGCTAGCCCGAGCACCGCCGCATACAGCCGGTTGAACAGCCACATCAAGAAGCGATGCGGGTCCCGCGCGTTACGCGATTCCTCTGCGATGAGAGCCTCGATTGCTTCACTCACCTCCTCGCGCTGCTCAACAGGCAGGAGAAACTGTGCGAGGATGTCGTCAACGAAGGTGGCAAATGTGATTGCGATGCCGTCGAGCAGGAACTCCGTGCATGTGTTGTCGTTGAAGAGAAGAGCGCACGTTGCTCTGGCGAGGCAGTACGGCAGGCGAAACATGCGCATCCGATGGTGAACCCAGGCCAAGCAGCGCATCCACAGGGGAAGCTCCCCTCCCATAGCGCGGTGGCGGAGCAGCCGCTTCTCCAGTGCAGCCTCGTCCCAGTCTTCGACGAGCGGCATCAACACAAGCAAGACAACGAAGATGAGGACGGCGTAGTGCGGGGCGGCGAGTCGGCTCTGGCGTTCGACGAGGTGGTCGCAACGAAATGGTAGGATGTCGGTCGCGTCACAGTAGGCCGCAGCGTCGCGAAGCCACTGCTCACCGCTCAAGTCGTCGGCGCCGCTGCGACCGAACCAACCCGCTCCAGTCACGAAGCTGGCATTGGACCAAAAGACCACCTCCGGCCCAACAGAGTACAAGCAGTCGGCGCAAAAACCTGGCGTCTTCTCGTGTCGCCACGGCTGCGGCATCAGCGGCGTCCCAAATTCCGACGCCAGATGGGCGTACGGCATGCAAGACTCTCCGACCGCACAGTGCTCGTGCTTCGAACACCGCTGGTTCATAGTCTCAAGAGTAGGCGCATTCAAGATCACCGATTGGCCCCACATGAGAAGGATTGACAGCAGAACCGGGATAGCCGCCGCAAGGGTGCTGGCGCCTGGCGTGGTAGCCCTGACAAATGCCCACGCATGTATGCCTCCCAGTGCAGAAGAGTCCGTGCGAGCGAGAGGCCGCAGGTGGATGCGCGTGCCGGCGGTCGAAAACGGGAAACGCGAGAGAGAGAGCTCGACAACGTCGGGTGCTGCCGATTGCTCGCGGTGCATGATCGCATCGTCGTCAGTGCCGGTGCTCGCGTCGAGCTGGGATGGGGACGCCACAGACAACCACCATGGCGAAGGCTTGCTCGTGAGCATCGGAGTAGGGGCGGGGCAGATGTCTTGGACAGAGCAGAGCTGCAGCGGCAGCAGGGGCACACACCTAGGCGGGGCAGAGAGAGCTCGGCGGTCGGCGGTCGGCCCATGCAATTCTTTTTTTTTTTTGATTCTTTTTCCTGTGGTGGGCGCGCGCGTGTGAGTCCTAGATTTAGCACACGCGCCTCAGCTTGCATACACTCATACATTGAATTGTCATCGCCTGTGAGTGCGAGAAGGGCTAGCCGCAGGCAGCTAGCCCATGAGGAGAGCGTCCATAGACACCTCACTAGACCCCACATACGGTCTCGTCCGTGCCTCGCAGGCCGGTGAGATTGCTAGAGGTCGAGCAAGCTGCTCTAGCCTCACATGTCACTTCCTGTCGTCTGTAGACTGTTGTTTGAGTTGTGCCCTTGTTTGTGCCCTTGGCACCGTGGAGTGCTGGGGGGGGCGACAGGGAGGATGTGGCCCTGAGTTATGTGTACGCCGACTCAGGGTGTGTGGCAGCCAGCTGGCTGTGTGTCTTGTGAGCCTGTTTGTGTCTGTGTGTCGCTCGTGCGTGTCGTCATCATCTGTCCAGCGTCCACCTCGCCCCGATCCCCCCACCCCCTTGCTCCCCTCCCCCCCCCGGGAGGGCCGAACTGAGGCGCCCGTGGGGACCCCACAATTCCCTTCCCCCCTCGGAGGGGGCCGGACGGAGGCGTACCCCGAGGGCCCCACTCCTTCCTTCGCATAGCGGCCACTCTTCGGATCGCTGGTCGAGCGACCCGGGGGATGCCCCGCGCGCCTGACCCAGGCGCGAAAAACGAATCTGCGAGGCGTGGCCGCTCACGCGGCCCGATGGGGAGGAACAGGACGAGCCCCCTCCAACCCACCCGCGCTAGGTCTCGGGGGACGCAGGGGTCACTCCCGCGCGACCTCGGGAACTAGCCGGGGCAGTCGGAGAAGTGGCAACTCCGTGCACTGACGGTCGGCCGTCAGAAAACACGCCTCCGTGGCTCGGGTTACACCAATCCTCGCTACCCAACGCGGCCAAAGGATATCCACCTCGAGAACCTCGAGAACCTCACAGCAGACTGGCACGAACTAGCACCACAAAAGGCACGAAAGGACCCAGCTGGTCGAGCCCAAGGCACGAAAGGACCGACGAAACGGACCTTGCTCAACACGCGCCGAATTTCGGTGCTCGCAATGCGAGCCCACCCAGACGACGGTCTCGACGATGGGCCTGTTTGGCAAGAAGACGTTCAAGCGCGCTGCTTCGACGCCCGACCCCTCCTCCAACGCCCGCCCCGCTGGGTAATGGCAGCGGGCAGCACACACCAGCATCGGCAGTGAGCAAGCACTCAACCTGTGCCTTCTTTATGCTGAGCGCTGACTTCGTGCGCAAGTTCCCGGGCGCCATTCTTCCAGGACCTGCGCGACAAGTTCACCACTGACGAGCCGCTCGTCAAAGTGGCGCTCGACTACGGCTTTACGCCGACGTGGTGAAGGGCACCCACATTGAGACGACCCTGGCGGTCTCGCACCGATGGGTGCAGCCGGATCACCCAGACCCCGATGGCGAGCAGCTCAAGGCGCTCAAGGGCTTCCTCAACTCGCCCGACGGCCAGAAGATTGAGCGCGTCTGGAAAGACTCGGCGTGCATGCCGCAGGACCACCCCAAGGGCTCGCGCAGCGCGGAGGACACGGCCGCCTTCAAGGGAATGCTGAAGGAGGTGAACCGGCTTTACCTCGGTACCACAGTCCTGATCCTCCTCGACATGTCGTACGTGTCGCGCTTCTGGACTCAGTTTGAGTCGTGGCTCGCAATGCAGTTCGCGATGCCTGACAGCCTCAAGCCGGCGGTGGGCACCAAGAACGAGCGGCACCAAGTTGTTTGCATCCAGAACGCCGCTGCGCAGGCTGAGTCGTTCACGAAGCTGCTCGCCGACCAGTGGGCGAACAAGACGCCGGACAAGGCGCACGCCTTCCTCTCGAAGCCCGACGTCACCGTGACCAACCAGAGCGACAAGGAGGAGCAGCTGCCGAAGATCAAGGCGCTCGACGCGTCGGTGCAGGGCGCGCTTAGCGAGGTCGCTCGGCAGATGGAGGACAGGCTGGCGGCGAGCGAGGCCGCCGTTGCGCGCGCCGAGGCGGAGCTGGCCGCGTGAGAGACAGAGAACGACGCCACGGCCGGTGAGAAGAACCGGCTGAAGGTGGCGGCGCGGCAGGCGGCGAGCGCAGCGGCGGCGGCGCGCTTGGCGAAGGAGGAGCACGCGCGGGCGATCTCGAGTAGTGTCGTCCCGGCAATGATGAAGCAGGCAGAGGCAGCGTTAGCAGAGGACATACGCACGCCTGAGTGGATCAGCCTGAGCATGTCCGACGTGCCGGAGCTGGTGCTGCAGCTGAGCGGCGGAGGTGAGTGGATGCGGCAGCTGAGCGTGGACAAGCGGAAGGAGCAAGCCGCGGCGGCGCTGGCGAAACTCGCTCGCAACGCCGACAACCAGGTGGCGATCGCGAGGGCGGGTGGCATCGCGCCGCTGGTGGCGCTGGCTCGCGACGGCACGGACAAGCAGAAGGAGTGGGCCGCGGCGGCGTTGGCGCGGCTCGCACACAACGTCGACAACCAGGTGGCGATCGCGAGGGCGGGCGGCATCGCGCCGCTGGTGGCGCTGGTTCGCGACGGCACGGAGGGGCAGAAGGAGTGGGCCGCGGCGGCGCTGGCGTGGCTCGCACACAACGCCGACAACCAGGTGGCGATCGCGAGGGCGGGCGGCATCGCGCCGCTGGTGGCGCTGGCTCGCGACGGAACGGTCGGGCAGAAGATGGAGGCCGCGGTTGTGCTCTGGCGCCTGGCTGAAAACGCCGACAACCAGGTGGCGATCGCGAGGGCGGGCGGCATCGCGCCGCTGGTGGCGCTGGTTCGCGACGGCACGGTCGGGCAGAAGGAGCGGGCCGCGGCGGCGCTGGCGTGGCTCGCACACAACGCCGACAACCAGGTGGCGATCGCGAGGGCGGGAGGCATTGCGCCGCTGGTGGCGCTGGCTCGCGACGGAACGGTCGGGCAGAAGATGGAGGCCGCGGTTGTGCTCTGGCGCCTGGCTGAAAACACCGACAACCAGGTGGCGATCGCGAAGGCGGGTGGCATCGCGCCGCTGGTGGCGCTGGCTCGCGACGGCACGGACGGGCAGAAGAAGTATGCCGCGGCGGCGCTGCGGAAGCTCGCCCACAACGCCGTCAGCAAGGTGGCGATCGCGAAGGCGGGGTTCCAACCGTAGTGACTAGTACACCCACCAGACCCTCACATCCACCCACCTCTCCTGGGGGCAAGGCTCCAGCCCCAACCTACCGGAGACAGTCGCTGCGCTGCGCGAGGCAGCCGCGGCAGCGAGCGAGCCGGCCGAGAAGGCGCGCCGGCTTCTGCACGTCGTCGCCCGCAACGCGTTTGCGCTGTTGGGCGAGCAGGCGCTAAGGAGTCTTTACCAGGTCGTACGAAGTTTTCGGGTAAACCCTCTCCACAAGCACAAGGTCTCGTATTACATATTCTTGTGGTGGTCGGCTATGCAAAGAGAGGAGGCCCCTCGTCCGAGTCAGATGAAACACAAACCGCGCTTGTAAAGCCTCTACCGCGCCTGCTCCTTCCCCCCCGAGAGCAGGCCGAACGGGAGAGCGCCCGCCGCCCGGAGGCCGCCCGCGACGGCGATGAGGGCCACGGCGGCGGCGGCGAGCTGCGGCGCCGACAGCCGGACTAGCCCGCGCAGAGCGCGCAGCCGCAATCGCGCGGCGGTCAGCAGCGGCAGCCGTCGCCGCGCCGGCGCCGCCGCGCGGCTGGCGGAGCGCGCGCGCTCGCGCTCAGCTTGCTCTCGCAGCACCGCCGGCACATGTGCGGCGCGAAGCTCGCAGAGCCGCTCGGGTGAGAGAGCGGCGAGCTCCTCCGTCATCAGCCGCACCTAAGTAGTGAATGAATGAGCCGCGCCCTCAAAGTAATGAGATTGGGGCGGGGAGGTCCTCCACCGTTCAGGCGCACGAAGGCGTCGCAGTCCAGGGCCGGCTCGTGCAGCGCCTTGAGGGCCTTGTACGCCGCCTGCCCGGCATGAACTACACGAATTAATTAATTAATTAATCACTCATGAAGCCGCTTGACCGGCATGAACTACACGAATTAATTAATCACTCATGAAGCCGCTTGACCGGCATGAACTAAACGAAGTAACGAATTAATTGATCACTAATGAAGCCGCTTGACCGGCATGCACGAGCCACGGAGTAGTGCCCCCACTCCTTAACTAGCATGGGGCACAGGGGGACGACCTAGGAGGGTGCCGGTGTGTGCGTCGTGACACGGCACGCCCGGGGCCACACCAGGCGCTACGAGCCGCTCTGCCAGCAGGATTCGAGGTGCTTCGGGGGGTAGGGTGGTGTTGCCACTACGGGGTGGAGGCTCACCCCCTAGCCCCCTACCCCACTGCACACATCCAGTCATAGCGCCCGCTCCCTATCCCCCCCCTCCACCCCAACCTTGGAGCTAGCCGTATAGACACCATGTACAGCATCGCACACCTCGAAAGACGTCGCCGCAAGGAGAGTGGCTCGCAGCAGCCGCAGGGTGGCGAGGGCGGCGGCGAAGAGCGCGCGCACGCCCAGCGAGAGGAAGAGGTCCTAAGTGTGGGGCTGGACGCCACCGTCGGGGGCGGGAAGCCGGGCATTTGTGCGGTGTCTTCGGGGCGCCACCTCGTGAGCTGTCCTGGTGTGAGCTGTGTGCTGTGTGTCCAGCAGTCCGGACCCGGTGCTACGGCCGGTGACAGCGTGCCTCGTGTCGGCCCCCGAGCCAATCGTGTGCAGCGTGTGTGTGTGCGTGTGGGCCCGTCCTCCATGCTAGGAGGTGTGTACACACTGACTGACTGACCTCGTGGCACCGCGTGAGTACGAGGGGGCTGCGAATACTGTGGCCACGGCGGAAGACGGCCGAGCACGGCGGAGTGCGTGTCCTCTCGAGCGCTGGCTGGGAGAGCGGAGCCCGTGTTTCCGCTTCTAGGGGTGCGGTCCCACACGCGCAGCGCCTACGTCCATGCACGGCGTCTCACGAGCCGCCTCGTTTGCACCAGCCACTCGCCGACGCCCCAGAGGCGCAGCGGCGCCGTCTCGGAGGGCAGCGCGGTGACAAAGCCGAGCATGAGCCACTGTGTCGAGACGAGGGAGAGGTCGAGGCCGAGCGACTCGAGGTGCGGCGGCAGCGCGTGCAGCTGCGGGTGCGACGCCACGAGAGCGTCGAGCGTGCGCGTGTCGGCGAGCACGCCAGTCAGCTGCGCCGTGAAGTACGACGGCAGCAGCCGCTCGATGACGCACTCGAGCAGCCAAAAGGCCGCCTGGAGAGATGGGGAGAAGAGAGGGGCAGATCACGCACTCTAGCAGCCAAAAGGCCGCCTGTGCGCACGTCGGAGCTGCGGAGAGGCGCCGTCCCCATATCTCCCCATATCTCCCGCAGCTCGAGGACGCGCTCGAGGGGCCAAGGCTAGGCCGCCTCATCCTGCGGGAGATATGATCTCCCCATATCATCCCATCTCTCCCCATCTCTCCCCATCTCTCCCCATATCTCCCAAGGCAAGGCCGCCTCCTCCCGGCCAAAGCTCCGGGCAATCTCGGGTAATCTCGCGTAATCTCGGGTCATCTCGGGCACGCAAGGCCGCCTCCTCGCGGCCCAGGCCTCCCTCCACCCTCGCCGGCAGCTGCAGCAGCAGGAACGCCGCAAGAAAGTTCAGCGACTGCGTGTAGCCAACCTGCGGGCTCGTCGCGCGGCAGTATGGTACAGGTGATGCTCTGTGTGGTGTGGTATGCTGGTGTAGCACAGTCACGGAATAGGCTAGTCTAGCATGGTGGGTGCGGTCTCCTGCGTGTCGCCAACCTGCGGGCTCCTCGCGCGGTAGTGTAGTAGTGGCGTGCTTGTGCTTGTGTGGTGTGCTGGTGTAGCACAGTCACGGAATAGGCTAGTCTAGCATGGTGGGTGCGGTCTCCTGCGTGTCGCCAACCTGCGGGCTCCTCGCGCGGTAGTGTGGTAGTGGCGTGCTTGTGCTTGTGTGGTGTGCTGGTGTAGCACAGTCACGGAATAGGCTAGTCTAGCATGGTGGGTGCGGTCTCCTGCGTGTAGCCAACCTGCGGGCTCGTCGCGCGGTAGTGTAGTAGTGGCGTGCTTGTGCTTGTGTGGTGTGCTGGTGTAGTATGGTATGGTGTGGTCTAGCCTCGCATGGTTTGTAGTACAGTCTCTTGCGTGTCGCCAACCTGCGGGCTCCTCGCGCGGTAGTGTGGTAGTGGCGTGCTTGTGCTTGTGTGGTGTGCTGGTGTAGTACGGTATGGTGTGGTCTAGCCTCGTGTGGTTTGTAGTACAGTCTCCTGCGTGTCGCCAACCTGCGGGCTCCTCGCGCGGTAGTGTAGTAGTGGCGTGCTTGTGCTTGTGTGATGTGCTGGTGTAGTATGGTATGGTGTGGTCTAGCCTCGCATGGTTTGTAGTACAGTCTCCTGCGTGTCGCCAACCTGCGGGCTCCTCGCGCAGTGCGCACAGAGCACGCGGCGCAGCATCGCCCGCCTACTCCCACACCCCCAGAGCATCGAACCCGGTGTGGGCTCAGGCCCGTGGGAGGCGCGGTAGAAAGGGTGCGCCCGTCCGCCGTCGCGAACTCCGCATGGTCAGGGAACGTGCGCGGCAGATCGAGGTCGATTTGCCTCGCCGCCTCCTCGCACACCGACGCCCGCCGCGAGCGCCGCTGCCGCGCCGACGCCCCCCCCTGCGCCGCCAGCGCCGCCGACGCGCGCGCAAGGCTCCGCCGCCGCACCCCCTCGGACGCCGCGTCGCCGTGCGGCGGCTCGCAGGCCGCAAGAGCCGCGTACCCGCCCGCCACGCCTACCGCACCGCCAAAAGAGGTCGACTCCGGTGTGGGTTCGGGTTCCGTGGGGGGTGCGGTACCCATCGGCGCCTGCCGCGCGGCGCATGTCGGACGCGCCTGTTCACGGCAAGAGGTGTGAAGAGACGCCGTTCACAGCTGGCCTGCCGCGCGACGCATGTCGGACGCTCCTGTTCACGGCAAGAGGTGTGAAGAGACGCCGTTCACAGCTGGCCTGCCGCGCGGCGCATGTCGGACGCGCCTGTTCACGGCAAGAGGTGTGAAGAGACGCCGTTCACAGCTGGCCTGCCGCGCGGCGCATGTCGGACGCGCCTGTTCACGGCAAGAGGTGTGAAGAGACGCCGTTCACAGCTGGCCTGCCGCGCGGCGCATGTCGGACGCTCCTACGTTAGTACGCCGACAGGAGGGCGGGAGGACGGTCTCGGGCAGCGCATGCAGAGCACCGTGCGAATCCAGCGGACAAGAGGAGAGGAGTACACAGCTGAATACGGCTAGCTGATGCGTGTGTCCTCTCCACCGCTACTTGGAGCACAGTGACCACGTCTTCTGCTTCTAGGCAGACGCGCCGGAGAGGCAGAGCCAGACGGCCGGCCGCAGCACGGCGGGCACCTGCTAGCCGCGCCGAGCCGTGAAGAAACGCCGTTCACACCTCCACCAGTGCCGGCCGCAGCACGGCGGGCGCCCCAACGGTGACCGGGTACTCTCGGGCACTCTCGGGCACTCTCGGGCACTCTCGGGTAATCTCGGGCAATCTCGGGCAATCTCGGGCAATCTCGGGTAATCTCGGGTAAGAGGCGCCCCCACGGCGACCGACGCCGCGAGCTGTTGCGCGCTCTGCCGCAGCCTCAACGACTCGACCCACGGCCGCGGTACCCGCCGCGGCGGCAGTGGCGTCGCGACCGGCTCCGCCACCGGCACGGTACCCGAACCCACCCTCCCGTACACCACCGTACCCGAACCCACCGGCATGTCCTCGGAAGCGACCCTCCGCTCGGCCTGCCGGGCGGCCAAAACCTGCGAGGTGGGTTCGGGTACTGTGGGGTAGGGGAGGAGAGGAGGTGGGTTCGGGTACCGTGGGGTAGGGGAGGAGAGGAGGGGGGGTCGGGTACCGTGGGGTAGGGGAGGAGAGGAGGTGGGTTCGGGTACCGTGGGGTAGGGGAGGAGAGGAGGGGGGGTCGGGTACCGTGGGGTAGGGGAGGAGAGGAGGGGGGGTCGGGTACCGTGGGGTAGGGGCAGGGTGGGTTCCGGTACCGTGGGGTAGGGGAGGGTGGGTTAGGGTACCGTGGGGTAGGGGAGGGCAGGCGCAGGCGCCTTGCCGGCCTCGACCAGCCGGCCCCACACCTACAATGGACATGTCCCGGACGTGTCCCGGACGTGTCCTGGACCAGCACGCCTCGACCAGCCGGCCCCACACCGCCAGCTGCGCCTCGCACCGCAGGTAGTAGTACGCGGCGAACTCCTCCGCCGCGCGCGGTGGCACGCGCAGCACGAACCCGTGCGCGTCCTAAGGTCAGGTCAGGTCAGGTAAACTTCTCCACACACACGAACGAGGTGGTGGGGCAAGGGCCAGGCTAGCCCCTCGGGTCTCCACGTCTAACGACAGGAGCCGCACGGCATGCAAAGTGCAAGGCCCAGTGCGCGTGGGTGAGCGGTGTTGTGTGGTGTGTGTGTGTGTGTGTGTGTGTGTGTGTGTGTGTGTGTGTGTGTGTGTGTGTGTGTGCGCGTCCCTCGTCGGCGGCGGCGGCGGCGCTGCGGCGGCGGCGGCGGCGCGGCCTCGGGAGGGCGTGGAGTCGCTCCCTTCGCCCAAGTCGGACCAGACCTCCGTGTCCTCGGTGATGCGGTCGAGCGGAGGGAACGCCGACCGCTGCGACGCCACGGGTGGAGGCGAGCGCACGGCATCCGACTCTCGAGGCTTCACCACCCGCTCCCAGCGCAGCAGTAGCTCGCCGCAGACCACGCCGTCGCTCGCGCCGCCACCGGGCGGCGCCGCCGCCCGGAGCTGGCACCAGATGAAGCCGTCGTCGGGCCGCGGCTTCGCTCCGCCGCTCGCCGAAGCGTTGTGGGAGTCAAAAGCGGCGGCGGCGGTGCGCGGCGGCGGGAGGGCGAAGTCAATCTCGACGGACGCGGCGGCCTTGATCGGCGCAGGCCGACCAACGATCCGGATCTGTAGCTCCGCCCGCACGAGCACGCCCAGGCTCGAGTCACCGAGTGGCAGCACCACAACTGCGCCGTCCTTGCCAAAGCTGGCGCCGCCGCAGGCGTCAGCGGCTGCCGCTGGCGTTGAGACGCGCGAGTTGGGCAGGTCGACGTTGAAGAGCCTGCAGCTGACCGAGGCAACCTTCTCGTCGGAGCCAAAGGGGACGCAGTTGGCCACGCGGACGCAGGTGAGGTGCAGCTTCCCGCGAGAGCTGCTCATCGGCGCACGCAAGAAAAATTTTAGCTTGCCAGCCCCTCTCACAGCAGACTGGCTCGGACTGCAAGAAGAAAGAATTTCACAACAAAAGGCTCTCGCACACGCACGATTCACACGACAGACAAGGCGCAGACGACGGCTAAGAATTCTAGTATCATAAGCCCCTCTCACAGCAGACTGGCACGAACTAGCACCACAAAAGGCACAGCAGACAACGGCCCCTTATGGGCCGTCGAAGAGGCCGTCATACTCCTCCGGCCTCGCCCCCCCCCTTCCCAACCCTCCCCTGGCTCAGGCTCCTCATCCTCGCGGCGCGCAGTGCGCACCCCGCCCCGCGAAGACGAACCCTTCCGCCGGCGTGCCTCGCGGGACTGCCGCCCGCTGCCGCCGCCCTTCCCCCCCTCCACTGCCCGCGCCGCCTTCTCCGCCGCCCGCGCGGCAACAAGAATTCTCCGAACACAAGCCCCTCTCACGAGAGAGACTGCGAAGTGAGATAGGAAGAGGCGGACGCCCAAGGGTGGGCGACGGCTAGCGCACCACACCCCTCTCCTTAAAATCCCTGTGTGGTGGCTCCAAGTGCTCCAAGGTGGCGGCGTGCCGTTCTCCCATCCCTCCCTTGGGTTGTCTGTTTTCTTTCTTTGTTTTCTTAGCAGACTGGCACGGACTAGCACGCAAGAAGAAGAATTTAAGCAACGGAACTCTCTCTCACAGCAGACAGGCTGTCGGCGAGAGACTGCGAAGAGAGATAGGAAGAGGCGGACGCCCAAGGGCTAGCCCAAGGGTGGGCGACGGCTAGCGCACCACACCCCTCTCCTTAAAATCCCTGTGACGTGGCGGCGTGCCGTCCTCCCAAAGCATCCCTCCCTTGGGTTGTCCGTTTTCTTTCTTTTTAGACCGAGTATGGCGATCCGCCTCCACTCTTTGTTGCTCGCTCGCCCGGGCGGAGGGCAGGCGGCGGCGCAGAACGACCCGAGGCCGAGGAGAGCGCGACGTGACGAGTCAGAGGGATTGAAGCGGCAGGAGGGAGGAAGGAGAGCCTTACAACAAAGCTCCCTCGCACGACACTGGGCACGGGACTGGCGCGCACTGGCACTAACACAGGTACACCACGGGAGCCGCCTAAGCGACTCCTGCGAGGGCGGCGAGGCACTTATTTCCGTGCACCCGCCCGCCCCCGCCACAGGCAAGCTCATTCACAACCTGCTCTGCGATTGCCGTGTGAAGAACGACCGAGATACGCTGCTTCTGCAGAGCCCCAGCCAGTTCTTAGTGGTCCAAGTCAAGCAGGAAAGCAAATTTTGCTGGCCTCGTGGAGGCGTGTCGTTCGTCAAAGAAGGCAATGAAACGGTTTGCTATTGGAGCGCTCACAACATCAAGAAGCGCATCCGTTGCGCTCTTCGCCCAGCCTCTTCCTCTGCAGTGTGGTAGAACGGCAGCTTCTTCGACAGCGTGCTTCTTCGACAGCGTGCCCAGTGTCGTGCGAGGGAGTTTTGTTGTAAAATTCTTCGTACTTCGACAGGTGCATTCTAGTTTTGTGGGGTTCTTTCCAAATTTAACTTGCAACGGCAGCGGTGTGGGGGGGGAGGGGGCTTTTCTTTCTTCGGTTGTGCTGGAGGCGTAACGGGTTTCATCTCCGGAGCTATTGCAATATCAGATACGGCATAACGGCCAACGGTTTGTATCCCTCGCAAACGTGAATTAGTCGAACGGGTGCACAAATTCAGCCCGCCCTGACCGACCCGCTTATTCCCACGCGCGAGCACGCTGCACCTGTCGACACAGCGCTGCGCCGCGCAGCCCCAGCCGGGCCACTCTGCCGTCCGAGCGGCGGGCAGCGCCAGAGCAGCGAATGCCGCTATCCGCTCTCAATCACAGCTGCCTGCTTGCTCACAGGTTCTCCTTGCCGCCGCACCCTTGCCGCCGCACCCACTCTCGCGTGCGTGCCCCTCAACCACCCTCTGCAGCGCCCGTGCTCAGAGAGCCTCCCCATCCTGCTCGCATCCGCTCAAGCCTGCCCCTCAACCACCCCCACGCCCTCGCCCTGGGCTGCACGGCCCTCGAGCTCGCCCTGTGTCGCCTCCACTGCGCCATGATGTCATCCGCGCCGTGCATGCACTCGGCGTAGGTACGTCCCACCGTGTACGGCAATGCTTAAGGTGGCTTGCCTCATGTTGAGCTTCGCAGTCAACGCACTGCCGGCCGCCGATCTCACTTCGACAGAAATCGAACTCACCCCGACCGGCCGCGGTACCACGTTTGCCACCATGGTGGGCCTGGCTCCAGACCATCTGCAAACAGACGTGCGACTTATGCAGCAATGCGGCCCCTTTCAACAACGTCGACTACGTGCTGTTCGGCTACAATGCGACGGGGGGGAATCCGACGGGCAACACAGTCGACCCCGGATTTAAGAGTCGCACCCCGATCTTCGTGGGAACGTATAACCAGCAGCTCGAAACGAAGGACAAAAAGCACCTCGTGCTCGACGGCTTCTCGGCGCAGTTGGTGCATTCGTGCTCGACCGCGTTCCGCTCAGAGGTAGCCGACTCGGTGGAGGAGTACGAGAATGAGCTCAGCACCATGTTTGGGGCGTCGGGCGGGTACGCGGGCTTCGAGTTCTCGGCGGCGACGGAGTACACGGAGCGCACCGAGCAGATGATCGCCGAGCACATGACGCGGGTCGAGAGCTCCGCAGAGTGCCTGCGGTACAAGGTCAGCCAGAACGCCGACGCACCCCCGCAAACGACCGAGGGGTTCAAGGCGAGCGTTGCCGGGCTCGGTAGCGATGAAGAGGGCTACTTCGGCTTGTTCGACAAGTACGGCACCCACTATACCACAAGCGTCACCTTCGGCGCGCGGCAGGGCTACTCCGCGCTGATCACGAAGTCGGCGCGGGACACGCTCCAAGCACAAGGCATCAACGTGGAGGTCGCCGCGGAATACGAAGGGACCTTCAGCGCCGGTGGCAACGTAGGTGTCGGCTGGGAAGACGAACACCGCAAACAGCTCAGTCGTGCGCTCACGGATAAGGAAGTGTTCACGATCGGCACACGGTGGGAATCGGACTCGGAGATATGGGCGCAGCAGGCGGACATAAAGGCGATGCCGGTCCATTACGAGCTCGCCTCGGTGTGCGACCTGCTGAGCGACCCAGCCAAGAACGCAGCGTGCAAGGACGCGTACTTTGGCAAGGACCAGGCGTACTGCAAGAAGCGGGTGCACCCGAACGAGCCGTGCCTGTGCGACAAGACGTGCGGGTTCGTCCGCCCGTCGCCCGTCGGCTCGTGCGGGCCGAGGAAGAAGGGGATCGGCTACATCAACATGCCAATGGCGGACTGCTCGGCGATGGGCGGGAACCCATCGGCGACGTCAGGCTGGGTCGATTGCCAGTTCGACTGGTGCACCAATGGCCTCTACTCCGCGGCGAAACCGGGCACGTGTGGTAACAACAAGAAGGGGTACGGCATCGTCAACATGCTTGCTGCAGACTGCCGTAGAATAGAGGGTGCAATGAACGGCAACCCCAACGACAACGCGTGGACTGCGTGCCACCTGGACTGGTGCGTCTCGCCGCCCGCCCCCGTCGACTACCACGCAGATTGCCCTGTTTGGGCTGGCCTCATGTATTGCGTTGTATTGTATGAAGTGTGGATGCGCCAGTACTGTGCAGCGTCGTGCGGCGAGGGCACGGGATACGTTGTCGGCCAGTACGCTGCAGCTCCTGGTCGAGGTGGCGAGTGCCGTGCTCCGGAAAACAAGAAGGCGTACGGCTGGATCAAATCGTGGGGACGGGACTGCGAGGCTATGGGCGGCAAGGTGAACGGGTCCCCTCAATTGCACGAGGAGACTTGGTGCCATCTGGACTGGTGCCCTCAGCCGTGAAGGATGACGCGAGAGGTCCGGCCTCTTCGCGTACGGCGAGACACGCTTTTTGGGACATTTTCGGCGCTTTTGTCCCATTACCCATAATACTCGTGCAACACATGCTGGCGCGGGCGCCCCCCTCGCGCCCCTGTGCGCGCTGTGCCTGTGGCGGGCTCGACACACAGAGCTGGTTCCCAATGTGCAAATGCAATGAGAGAGACGCGGTACTACAGATTTTATTCGAACAAGATGAGACGCAACACGCAGCACCCGGGGGCTAGCTAGAGCGCGCACAAGACAAGAGTGTAAAAGGTGTTCAGAAAGCGGGGAGAGGGGTGCAATCGAGTGGGGGCATGCAAGGGGCGGGTCGGGGGGAGGGGGGGAGGGGGGGTGTCCGGGAAAGAGAGGCAGACGGCCCATGCGACGGTAGGCACCGCGGCGCAATCTCTCTCGCTGGCGGTGGGCAACCCGATCCGGGGGGAAGGGAGGTGGAGCGGAGAGGGGCGGAGAGGGGGGTAGGAGGGGCGGAGAGGAGGGGGGGGAGGGGGGGGGGGCGGGGGGGGGGACTCACAGTGGACGGGTGGGTGGGCGACACCCCAAAGCAAGCCCGCGCCCAATCACGCGCACGCCAAAAGCCGCGGCGCACGGGACACGCGCGGCGGCGGGCAGCGTACAGCCCCAGACAGGAGGACGGCCCCCCGGTCAGAGGACCGCCGCCTCTGCGCGCGCGGGCGGTGCGGTCGCGGGCGGTGCAGAGGAGAGCGGCCGCACGGCCGCGGAGCAGCTCAGCCGACGCCGACCGAGGCCGCGAACTGGTCGGGGTCGCACCTGATTCGTGAATAAATCAACTAGTTGAGTAATGAACGAGGCTGCGAGCTGGTCGGGGTCGCACCTGTGTGATGGCAATCTCGGGCAATCTCGGGTACTCTCGTGTACTCTCGGGTACTCTCGGGTAACCTCGGGTAACCTCGGGCAATCTCGGGCAATCTCGGGCCGCACGTGAGCAAGTCGCGCTGTAGCATGGAGAGGTCGCCGTGGAGCAGCTCCTGGCAGAGGATCTCGTTCATTAAGGAGTTAATCAACGGGGTCTCGTTAATCAATGTGGAGCAGCTCCTGGCAGGCGGTGCAGATGATCTCGTCGCCAGAGTGCAGCGCCTTCTCCGGCAAGCAGCCGCTGCAGTAGCTGTGCGGGCAGGTCCTGCACCGCCATAGCTCGACGCCCTCTGCCGGCGGCGGCTTCGGCCCGCGCCCGCCACCGCGCGCCTGTCCCGCCGGCACCACGCGAAATCACGCGAGATTGCGCGAGATTGCGGAGACTGGCCGCGACCGCCCGAGGTTGTCCGAGGTTGTCCGAGGCTGTCCGAGATCGTCCGAGATTGTCCGAGATCGTCCGAGATCGTCCGAAGCCTCCGCCTCCGCGCGCCTGCCCCGCCTTGCAGCCGCCGCGTATCTGCCGCGCGCCGCAGCCGACGCAGCGGTGGCGAGGGCACTCCCACGTGCCTGTTAATTAGTTCATTATTAGTCAAGTAATTTGTTAATTAGTGGCGAGGGCACTCCCGCGTGCCTGTGGTTCACAGTGCGGAGGTGTGAAGGGGGGAGGGGGGGGGGGGGCGAGTAAGGGGAGGAGTCGGAGGGGGGGGGGGGGGGGGGCCCCCAAGGGGAGCCGGGAAAGGGGGGGGGGGTGGGCCCCCCACGGCCCCCCGTGTAATTTTTTCTCCCCCGGGGGGTTCTCTTTGGACGATATGTGTGGGCCGCCTCCCAATTTCTAAAATATCTCCCTCCCCCCCCCCCTTTTTTTTTTTTGGCCGGAGGGTTTTTTTTCCC